ATATAATGGATCTTAAAATACATAGTAGTAGTTTCAATTCAATATGAGAGAAGAAAAGGAGAAAAGAAAATCATGGTATTACTGTAGTAAAATTTTTACTTGTTGTAAATCCCGTTTCACAGTGCATGTATTAATCTAGTTTTTATTTATTTTCAGCTCATTACAAGACAAATATTTTGGTATGAACTATGAGCTTCTCTGGCTACGTAAATTTGCAGTAAAAAGCACCCTAAAAATTAGAGGGTTTTTTTTTTATCAAATTACTTTTTTGAAATATTTTAAAAAATCATTTTCATCAATTTAAAATGTTTTGTTGAATGGTTCTATCACTTAATTTTTTTTTTTGTCCTTGTCAAGAATTCATAAAATGTGATAGATTTTGAACTTATAATAATTTTTCTTGTACTCAATAGATATATCTTTCGACCTTAGTTAAGAAAAAATAAAAATATTTTTTAAGTTGAAAATATAATTTCGTAACAAGTTGTATTAAAACATATTCAATTCTTCATTTATGTGAATCAGTGACATCTTTATTTAAAATGTCTAAAATTTATTTACAAGTTAAATTTTATTTTAACCCTAATTAGGTTATTTTTTTCTTATAATTTTTCAGATTTGTAGACATGAAAAAACTACTTTAACAATTGGACCCACCTAAACAAAAATTTCTCATAAAAATGGTCCACCAACGAGCATTATCCCTGCTCCTTTATTTATTCAGAAGATCCCTTTTTCTCCAATGTTGTTTTGACAAAATGGGATTTCCCGTAGATTTGAAGGCATTGATCCACAAGTCTTTTCCCAGGGCAAAGTTGGCCCATTGGGCCCATGGTCTTTCGTCAATTATAAATTCCACCCATGAGGTGGGATATGCCTTATTAAGAAGGAAGGTAGCACAAAAATGCTTATGACCTCCAATCGGTTAGTTTATTTCAATTTAGTAAATGCAAGCGATCTTTTGCCAACTCTTCTCTGGCCTCACCGTAAAAATCGTACAAAATTTATATATCATTGAAGGATCCACCAGGATGGCTTTAAATGTAATCACTCATTCAAATAAATAATGTAACTTTCAAGTGAGTAAATTTATTAAAGATTTAAACTACTATTATTAATATCTTTGTTACAGAATTATTACGCATTTACGTATATAAACCTGTCAATATCTCTTTTACTTGTCTTATATTAAAAATGAAGCATGCTGCTTTTTGGTTTTGAAGCACTTGACTTGACATCTCAACTCTCATAACAATTATTTTAATATGAATCATAATATTTTTAATGAAAAATATAAAAAAAGTACTTTCAAATACTTGTTAAAGTAATATTTGCAATATTTCAAAAATAATAATCTAATTAATAAATACCATTTAACTGAATCTTTCCTTCACTCACCTCTCCCAAAAAAGGGAGAAAAAAAAAAGGGTAGCGCAATTGGTGGGAGAAGATTTAGAAGCAGTAGTACTGCATGTGCTGGGACCATAATTTTTTGTACTGCAACTAACTTTGAAACTAGTTACATGCGCATTGATTGTCATAGATTTTAAGGTACTGATATGTTCTCCCATTACTGGAAAGGAATAAAGAGCATGTGGATGCTTAATTTGGGCCAGCAAATCAAATCCAGGATTAGAGGAGTATCTTTGGGCTCTTTTCGTATACCCCATCAACAGGACCAGGGGAAATGGGTACCTTGGGTTCGATTAAAGTGCGCATTGTTGATCATTTATCTATCACCTCAAAGATCAGATGCATGTGGGCATGGACGCCAAGGTTTTGAGGTGGAGGTTTTCTCTGAAAAAGTTTCCAGCTGAAGGTTTTTTGGGAAGCCAGTTTGTCAATTGATAGATCAATTTTGGTTCTGATTTAACCTTTTCCTTCTGTTCTTTTCTGTCTCAATTATTGCCTGGAGGGTTTTTTTTTTTTCTGGGGAGTTTGTACAAGCGCTCAACATGTGCTCCTTCGTACTTTTGGCATGCAAAATGTGTAGCTTTTCTGGATTGCTATGGATGAAATATTAAATAGAGATTTGGGTTTTCATTCTTGTAACATTTTGGAGGTGAGAGTGGAGTCAAACTTATTCATTAGGGCTGGATTAGACATGGTTGAAAGATCTATGTATGTTGGATTTTTTAAGATAAAATTCCACCATTCAAATCAATACACATAACAAGATATCCTTGACCCGTTACTAAAGAAAGTTGGATTTTTGTAACATAAAAGTAAAACATGCCATTGAAAAAAAACGCAAAGCAAGTTCGAAAGTTTTACTACCAAATTACCGTTGGACTTGCAGGAGTGAGGTAGAGGAGAGAGGGAAACGAGAGTGTAAAATAACTTGCTCTTGTGTTTTGTTTGAGCATCCAAAGGGAGTATAAAATCAAAGAACCAAAACATACTCTTCTCCTTGCAGGGAGAGAATCACCAAATTCACTATGGAATAATGGTAGATACGCTATCTTTTGGCTTTTGGGGGGGTCAGGTTTCCGCTTCAGTCTCTGTGTTTCACGAAGTTGAAAAACTAAAGCAATTTGGAAAAACATGAAACAGCTAATCTGAAAAACAAAGGGACACCGAAAGTGGGTGGTATAAGTTCAAAAGGAAGAGGAATGAAAGAACACAATAAGGTAAAGTTTATCAATTGGGGAGAAAAGGAAAGTGAAAATCATTATGCACTCCTCTTCTTACGTTAAATCGAGTCACCTAACAAACATCAAGTACAGATTTCGTCGTGCAAAAAAAATAAAAAAATACACACTTTGTGTTTAATTTGGAATCTTGGATGTTTTAAACAAGAGGTGCTACTCTCTAAAATTGACTTGCTAAGACACCATTTTAGACAGCTTAAAAAACCATGGTCCTCAAAGGATGGTGATGTAATGTCGTAGAAACCATCGATTGGTTGCTTCTTGTATCCCCATAAGCCGCCTCCCCACGAATGAATTCAATAAAAAAATGGGGTTTTTGCTTAAAGAGTTAAGATAATGACTATAAGTTTAACATTGGGTTCCTAAAGTTTTACTCTTTTTTGTTTCAGGTAGAGAATAATTTGACTCTTTTTGTTTGTTGGGTTTTGAAGGAGAGGTGTGGTAGGCAAAGATTGAAAGGTGTATCCCTTGAATTTGTGTTGTTACTTTCGTCAAAGAGAGAGAAAGAAGCATATACATCATTCCGACCTTTGACAAACATGCCACTATTAGAATCATAGGAGAAAGATATGGTAATGATCGATCTAAAAGAAGAGAAGTACAAATTGTTAAAAAAGAAAGAAAAAGAAACCATTTCAAAGGAGCAATCGGGACTTCCTTTTCACAATGGACTAGGTTCATTTGAACATTTAGCTTTCGCCTTTATCACTTTGAATACTGCAGAATGTCGAGTAGCTCTTCAATTTCATTTCCGCTGTCCTCAACTTTAAACTTCCTCCCAGTTACGTATAAGGTCGTGCATGTATTTTAGACCATGAAAAATGCGAAGAGAAGAATAGTACTAAAAAGTAGTAGTAGGTTTTTTTAATAATAATCCACTTGATGATTAGTACTAATTAGCCAGCTCTAAGACATGACACACGCAAAGACTTGCCCTGGTGAAACCACACACATATTTTTTGCCCCCTTGGAGAACCTAGAATCATGGTGCAACTTCACTTGCTGCTCATATATCGTCATGAATCATGAATCCATCACGTGAGAAAACCGCAGCTTCTCTTACTTTGGAGAAATTAAATCCACTGGTTTCTTCGTAGTCAAAAGTAAAAGTAAAAGTTTTATGTAAGACCTTAGCAGCTGATCAGGCTCTTATAGGCCGGTAGAAATGCAGAATTCACGAGGGGTTACCAGCCTAGGACTGCTGTTAACGTTAAAATTAAAAAGTTACCCACACAAACACTCGACCGACCGAAATAGATGATAAAGAAGAGAGAAGGGCTATAGTACCTTTTCAGTTTCCGAAGAGAAGTGTTAAATTTCAATGAATTATTAGATTTATATTTAGTAAAAAGCTGCTTTGGGTCGATTTCTTTTGTAGTAAAAGCTATGCAGTAAACATAATGGTAAAAGTTTGACAAGGGCAGAAATTAACCTGCTAAGGGTTTATTGTTATAGCCTTATAGGTATATTCTTTCGAGTGGATTTTAAGATTCAATACTGGCTCCTATAATTCTACTTAATATATCTTTGTAGTTTTTTCTTTGTGGGAAAAAAAATAAACATAAAATAAGTATTAACAATCTTACCTAAAATAAACATAATAGTATTGTTAACAAGAAACAGTAAATTTGGTTATATTGTTAGACACATTACTCCATGTTACATGCTTCTCTCTTCTCGCTTTTTTTTTTTTTTGTATATTTGCTGCTTCAGATATATTCAATTCTGAAAAATATATACTCCATATTATACTATATTGCTAGGTTTGTTATTAATCATAAATACAAATATGAGTAAAGTCTTAAGGCTAGACTTAGTTTAGCTTCGTCAATGGCTGCTAATAGTAATAGACATATTATGCAAACGTTATTTATATATTACTGCCATACATAATTCAAAGAATATACAGAAACTTAGACCGCCGTGCTAGTTGAAAAGCCAAATCTTTTACCGAATAATAGGGCATTTTAATTTTTTTTTAAAGTTTAAAAGGAAGTATTATTATGGTGTACTTATAATAAGGAAGCTAATTGAATTTTCCGAATAAAGCTTAATTGCCATTAAGCAGAAATGTATGGAAGTGGGTAGCTAATTAATGACTTAAACTGATTTTAAGCATAATTATGTCTTGAAGTTCTGATCAAATAAAGTCAACACAACATGTGGAGTGATTGTTGACTGGGTCCTACTATCTTAACAGACAAGAAAGATGCAGAAGAAAAGGCAAAAACAAAGTTAAAAAGAAAAAGAAAAAGAAAAGGGGAGTGGGGGAAAGGAAAATAGCTAGTTAGTCATACAAAGTCAAGTTCTGTGCAAAGGAGCCACCAACTTTATAAACCCCTTCACCAGATGAGAGCCCACTGTTTCTTTTTCCCTCAATTTGAAAGCATTTGCGTGTCTCAATTCTCCTCTCTTTCTCTTTCTCTTTCTCAAAGTCTTTCTCTGTGTGTGTTAATTTATCTGTCTTTTTGTTGGGAGGAAGGGTGTCAGTTCAGAGTGATAGTGAAGGGGCTGAGCCCGAGCTATAAGCTATAGCAGCAAGCATGGGGAGAGCTCCATGCTGTGACAAAGCAAACGTGAAGAGAGGCCCTTGGTCCCCTGAAGAAGACGCCACCCTTAAGAACTATGTTGAGACTCATGGCACTGGTGGTAACTGGATCGCTTTGCCCCAAAAAGCTGGTATAAGAATATACTCTTTGGCTCTCCCTTTTCTACGAGGGTGTTCAGTATTCTTCTTTATTTTTCACCTTTCAATTTTAAAGGGCCTTTTCTCTTGTTTCCGGGCAAATTATCCACTACCCATTTCACCAAAAATGAGTGTTTCCAAATGTTTTAAACTTGAAAGTAAATCATCAGTTAAGGGTTTCAGATTTCCCTGAACTTTTCAGTAGTAAAATTGTTCCTCTTTTCCCAACTAAGCAGAAAAGGAGAATTGTGAACTAAGAAGGCGTCTTTTTCTTTATACTGTTCCATCGTTTTTAACTTCCTCCAGTTTCAGAAAACTCTGGCAGATTATAGCTTTTTCAGCTGTTTAGTTACATTTTTGACTGTTAATGTGTCCTCTTGGCTTTTAGAGTTCAAAGTAAAATTTGCAAATACCATGTAGGTTCAGAATTATGGTACTTCCCCTGCAAGAATAAAAGCAGTCTGGCCGCTGAGTTTTGTCTTCTTGTTCACTATCTTTGTTCAAAGTACGGTTTCAAGTCTGGACATTATTCTCTACTCTGGTCTTTCCTGGTTTTACTTTTATGTTCATTCTTTCAGCTCTCTAAATAATCTGTTGTCATAATTTTGTTGTGCTTTTCGGGCATCCATATGCAAATGACTGATGCCCTTATCATTTAACCAACTTCACACGACAAGAAATTTTTTGCTTTTTTTTTTTTTTGGCCTTGAAAAGACTGAATCCAAGAGAGAAACACAAAACATTGTAAAATTTGTTCAGATCAGTCGTTAAAAGCAACCTCAATCTTGCTTTTAACGTCTGTCTAAAACAAAAGGTTGAAATGCCTTATCAATTACTAATCATCAGTAGTAAATTTTTTTTTTCTATCATTTTCCTTCCTTGGAAGTTTACACCTCAATATCTCGTGTTACCTTCCAGGCCTTAAGCGATGTGGAAAGAGTTGCCGATTGCGATGGCTGAATTATCTGAGACCAGACATCAAACATGGGGGTTTTACCGAAGAGGAGGACAACATAATATGCTCTCTCTATAGTCAAATGGGAAGCAGGCAAGTTGTTTTGTCCTTGTTTTTTGGGCCAAGAATCTGTCTGGTTGCTCGTAATTATTTTTAGTTATCTTCACAAAGCTTCTCTTATAGATTAACTTAGTCAAATGTCGGTTGTTTTTATTATATCTCATTTAAGACTTGTAAAAACCCCACTTGTGATTCTTGTTAGATGGTCTCTCATAGCTTCTCAGCTGCCCGGAAGAACAGACAATGATGTGAAAAACTATTGGAATACCAAGTTAAAGAAGAAGCTCGTGGCAGGGAAATCATGCTTCAATATTAGCAAGACTATTAACAATGATCTCGTCCCTGCTGCCAACAGTAATATTTCTACTCAACCAGGCTCAGCAGCTGCTTTACAGCCTTGCTTACCAAAAGCTGAACCTTACAACCTGGATTATCCAACCTCACACTCTCATATTTCAGCACCATTGCCAATTTTATCTGATGTTGGTTATGGATTCTCTATCAGTAGTATTCAAAACTTGCCTTTAAACCCGGTCGTGGACTTTTCTCGCCCAGAAGCAGTCACCCATCTGTCACAATCAGGTGCAACTATGGAGAACAGTCTCATTGTTACCTCATCTCAAGAAGGCTCCAGCATTTCGGATTCTACTTCTCTGGCTATGGAGAGCAAGCCTGTCTCAATGCCTGCTAACGGATATGTCGATGACACGGGGAACATTTTGATGGATCAGTTCAGCTACGAGTTCCCTTATGAATTCGTCAATGGCATTTGGAGTCAAGAGAAAGCTGGGGAGGTCGTTCCAAGTTGCTATGATAGTTTAGCTGATTTTTCCCATGCTGACATAAAGCCTCAAGGACTGAATCAAAGTGTTGCTAACCGATACTGAGAGAAACGCATGGCTGGAAGGGGAATGGCGGAAGAAAAAAATTGAAAAGACATGGACATGTGAAAGAAGAGAGAGATAGATACAAGATTTAAGTTTTAATTTTCTTCTCACATGCTATATTATTATGATTTGGACGTTGTTTCTGTAGATAAAAAAGAAAAAGGAGAGGATATATTAACCTATGTCAAATTCAATTCAAGTGAATGGGGCTTTAATTAATCTGATGTTGATTTCATAGAAATAGTCTTTGTTCTCTGAATGCAGCCTTTAACCTTTTAATTTTGGACCCTGTTACCCGAGAGGAACATTTCGATTAAATGAAATCAAAATTCATGTGAAAAAACATAAAGAAAGATTATTATGCGCCCCTGTCTTTCTGTTAACTATTTAAGGCTCAATGTGGACAATTTGTCAGAGAAAAAGTGCGGTCTTGAAAATTTTGGTTTTTAATTTATCCAAAGGAAGATGGACATGGGTGTGAGGGTGATTCCATCATCATGTCTGCCTGTTTTTTGCTGTTTCAGTGCAGTGGTCACGAAAGTTGCATGGGGGGTTGTGGCCTGTTCAAACCTCATCATGCTGTGAACGTATTCTTCTAACGTTAACCATAAAAGATTCTCTCTCTCTCTCTGTGAATAAATATATGGCCCTTGGAAAGGTCATAAAAATTAACCCATCATTTTCTATTGAATATTCAGCACAGGTTTTTCCATTTACAACTTTTTTCCTCCCAAGTCTTCTCTTGAATTAGCATTGAATTATTGAATATGAATACAGGACATCACTTCCTTAACTTCACACGTTTCAGGACCCAGAAATTTATAAGTACTAACGTTTTCTTTGTTCCATGCATGTGACTCTCCTACGCAAAACTTTGCCTTTTATCAACAATCTTTCTGTTTCTATATATAATTGGCACTTTCATAACTAAACCCAAAAAGAAGAAAAAGAAAAAAAAATACTCAAACATTAAAGGCTTTTCTACTTACTACTTTAAACATTTATTTTTCTATCAACTTTTTTCCTTTTTTCTCCCCCCTTTTCCAAGTCCTAAAAATTAACCACCACTTTCTCTTAAAGCAAAAATAAGATGGGAGATATGAGAACCTTGCCAACTATGCAACCTCATTATATCTGATAAAAGGCCTTTACCCCACCTGGGACCTCTACTGTCAATATATATTATTTTCACCAGAACCACAAATCTGCTGCAGTTAAGGGTAATAAATCAATTAGCAGAAAAACCCAACAAAGGGTTTTTAATTTGGAAACCCTAGATACCCCACGGGTGAGTGTAGTGCAATTCATCTTGCCTAAACTTGATACCATACCCTGAGCAGACACAAACAGGCCAAAGACACTTGTTTTGACTACCTGGTTTAATTTCAATATTCTTCCCCTTGCCTTAAAAAGGGAACTGCTCCAAAAGGATTCAAAATTCAAAGTTTGGGAAAAACTTGTTTCTATATACAGTTTTTACTTCCTTGAGGTATTAATAAGTAAACAGATAGGCTCTCAAAGCCGGGCAGACATTTTGTTCCCTCTAATGTTTGCACATTGCACTTTCGGACATTTCATCATAATGTCCTTTTTATCTACTTCTTGGTGGCGTTACTTGCAAATGAATATTCCTTCTTAAAAGTATTTAAGAAGACAAGCATATCGGCACCATTGGATAGGCCAGCATTCCTCCACCCCCCTCCCCTCCCTTTTTTATTTTTCTCCAATCCTGGGACACAGATTGTTTAATCCTTATTGTGTACCCTTTGTTTTATAAAAAGAACCCTATCTTTCAACGTGTGAAGCTAGCTAAGTTTCGTCTTCTTAATTAGGTGTAGCATTCTTTAAAGCATTGAAGGGGCTAGCCTGCCTACAGTGCGGCATCTTTTCAATAGTAAATGAGAGAATATCAGTATTTAAAAAAGATTGAAAATCTGAACATATAGACATCAAAGGTGATTTTGCAATCCCAACGACACGAGAGTCTGACACACATTTTGCATCTAACACTTAATAATTTAGTTTATTTGCGTTTTCACCTTCCCAAAAATTTGAGTCTAACAATCAAATAAGATTATTTACGAATTTGAAGTTATCCTTTTTAATATTCTTAAAATATTAAAAATTTAATTCAAAAATTATTTAACTTTTATGTCTTTATCTCAAGTTCTTATATTTGTTTTAAAAAGGGGGTTATAATTGGTATCCAATGTTTCGTGGGATCTTCTGTAAGGTGAGATTTGAGAGAAGAGGAAATATTGTAATTTCGCACGAGTTTGCAATCGAACTTTATTTTATAATAGAGTTGAGTTGACATTTTATACAACTTTTTTTAATTTTTATATATAAATTATCATTATTTAAAAAAAATAATATAAAATAAGAATCTCGTATTCGAATTCTAAATATCTTTTATTTATGTGTAAATAGTACTCTTTTTGTTTCTCGATGATAAGAGCATTTCGTCTTTCAATTCAAATTCTCTTCTACTATTAATATATAATGATCAAAAAAAAAGAAGAAAAACCCATACCAAACTAGTGACATATATCACTATACTTGACTATATAGAGATTGGCCGACCAATATGATAAGCTTCATTCTCCTCATTGCCCCGTATTATAGCTTTACAGATAATTAAAGAAAAAGAAAACTAATAAAAAAAGGGGAACACACATCCCAATTCAAGAAGTCACAAATAATTTAAGGAACAAATGGCATCTATAATATTCAAACCAAATGCCCAATCAGAACATTATTTTCTACATTTGAATACTATATATTATCGACCAATCATGGAGGGATATAATAAAATTATGTTAATTATTCAGGGTTCATCCATTGACAATCAATCCCTTCTAAACTTTAATTTTATTTTAATACCAAGCCAGTTTCCAGTCAATGAATGGATAACCTTTTCAAAAGACATCACAACAATAGATTATTCGTTTAAACAAGGTAATAATTAGGCGTAGATATATTTTTATTCAAAGTTTATTTTAATACTCTTTTGACAATTCATGCAAAACTTTTTAAGGTCCCAACTCCCGACCTTAATTTATATAATATATGTATTCCTACTTGATAAAGAGAATCTTGAATCCATCGGCCCTGGGTCATACTAAATTTTGCTTCGGCCTTCAACTTGTCTTTTGACATCGACCCCTTCCAGAGCAGTTTATTATAACCACGAATTCTTCCATGAAATTTTCATGCATATACTTCCAAGTCATTTTTATATTATTCTTGGTGACTTTGAGGGTTTTTCTTTCTTTATTTTCCTTTTAATTAGCCAATGGTTGTGATAGGATGATTTTTGAATTTATGCATGGAGCGTGTTAAGGTTTACCCTTTTTTTTTGTTTCATTTTGTTTGTTTTTTATTAAATAAATTTAATTTTATAAATTCACAAATAAAATGAGATAAAACGAGTCGAAAGTATTTTTTTTTTGGTTTCATTTCGTTTTCGATTTTTAGAAGATACTTTCGAACGAAAAATGTGTACCAAGAACAAGGTGCCAGTATTTCCAGTTAAATAATCGGAGAGAAGAAAAATGAATATGTTTACTCTTGCGTGTGCAATTGTTCTAAACATGAAAATTAGGGAAAACATACGGTTGAGGCATTGAGTTTAGACTGTTTTAGAGCGTGATGTGTACCACGAACAAGGCATGGGCGTAAACTAAGTAGGTCAGTTCTGACAGAAATGGAAAAAGGAATAAGTCTGACTTCTGACACTAAAGGAATATTATTTGTTTTTGCCTTTTATTTTTTGGAAGTAAAGGGTAAAACGAACAGTTGTGTACAAGAGAAAAAACAACAATCACAAGCAGAAAACAAACTGCTATTCTAGAAGAGTAGCAATGCCAATAGTGGGGCAGGCATTAGAAACAAACGTAATCAGATTCATTAGTTTAATTGCTAAACAAACACGATGTGGTTTAGGTTCTACCAATGCAAAATTAAATATAATAACGAAGGAAATCTATGGAAGGTGTTGAAACATGTTCGTCTTGTCGTTTTAATCCAAAGGGCTAAAAGAAATTATTGCTATCAATACTAGCTATTAATATCTAACTGAAACCAGTAAAAATTCCATGGATCATATTAACTGGGAATGAGCAACCTGCCAAAGTGTCATCCCTGTCTGTAAAGCAGCAAGCTCGTCGACTTTGTCAGCTGTTAATACATGGGACAGGTACAACGGGTACAGGCGCAACTGTGGCAGCCTGTTCCTCCAAGTAGGCTCCTTCAACTTCCCCAGCCTCAGCTTCCAATTCATCCTGTAGAAGCAATATTTTTTTCAATAGAAACGTTGAATCTAAAGAAAGATAAAAGGAACCTGCACGAAACAACACCTCATCATAATCAGCAGCTGCACCAATTTGGTGCTGACAATGTCTCATGGATCTGTTTCGTGCTCCTCAGTTTGCTCATCGATCTCATCCATTGTTTTGTCGAGATCTCTTTTATGTTCCTGTACATGATACCATGCAAAAATCAGGTAAAGCACTGACCAAATTCTTCCCAGAATCAACCCTGTTAACCTAAACTTGATTACATATATGTGGAAAACTTCACGTCATGAATGATCATGAATGCTCAACTGGTAATTAGCAAGCGTCTCCATTTCATCGTTCCCAAATTTAGTTTCCCTTCAAACATCTCGCTGCCTGCTGCACAATCACAATAAGACTAAGTTTGAATAAAGATTAAAAGCAGAGCAGAAAGAGATAGAAACATTTAGGAATGCAACTTTGCAGTGACTAATTAACATTTCAGATCAAGCATATATTCTCTGCACTATTGGGCCCGTAGGCCCAACATCAAGAATCTCTTTCAGATCCAACGTCAAACATAATGCAAGAAATCTCTATTTCATAGAACACCCAAATTGATTTTTAAATTTACTTGCCATTAAATGTTAATTCATACAAATTAATCAAAATAAAAGTATTAATAACAAAATTCATCACAATTAAGAAATATAATAGTAAAATTGTATCATAGTATAATTATAATCTCTTTTTTTTTTTTACAACTCCCCATAAACTATCTTATAATAACCATTCCACCCAACATCTAGGCGTGACATAGTTTGAAAGAATAAAATATAAGTTGGTTTGGGTTTTCTTTTTGGGGCCCAAGAAAAATTAGTTTAGGAATTAGAAGAAAATAAAAAGAGTAAAAATGAAAACGGCCCCTGACATTCTCTTTTTTAACTCTGTATTTTTAAACGGAATCGGAGGTGGTGGGAAGAGATTAAATAAAAAAAAGGATTAAAAACAAAGGGGGGAAAAAAAGATAAGGAGGCGATATTGTTACTCAAGCGATTGTTTCATATCAAAAGCCACGAAGTAACAGCTGAGTAAATTCATTTCCTCGACAACGAATTCGAGATCTAACATTCCGCCTATTAATTCTCTCAGATCTGTACCGTCTGGCTGATTTGATCTCACATTTTCTTCCACCGGCTATTATCTATAATTAATTTTTTTTTGTCAGATCCGCCATGGATTTCATGAAGGTCCTCGATCAGACGGTTCGAGAAATGTAAGCTTTAACCTCCCTTGTTCTGAATTTTGAATCAGAGTTTGGTTGATTACTGTTTGCAATCAAAGATAAGTTGATTTAATTTGTCTCTTTTTTTTTATTTCCTTTGGTAATTTCAGCAAGAGGGAGGTCAACCTAAAGGTATTGAAGGTTCCGGAGATCGAACAGAAGGTGAGATCAAATGCAATTTAATGTTTTCTCGAATGCTTCTTGCTTGGAGAAATATGCTTAAGATTTTATACTTGTTCATTTGTTGTTAGTTTCATTAATCTGTTTTAAAAAAAAGAAGAGTGTAGGATTATGATTTGGTGTATACGGTAGAGTTCTCTATAGATTTGGCACAGGTGTTTAAACTTGAGTGTGAAATAGAAATGTTAAATGGGAGAATTAGAATTTACTCACTGCTCGAACTGAGGTTTATGCTATGATCGAAAGCTTAGGTTACTTTTGTGTCGGCTTTAATTATCTTTTTTGGTATAGTGAAGTCGCTTATTGCTTGCTAGTATATGTTTTTGATCCATGATCAAGGTATCATAATTCTGTTATTCTTTGACTTGATCTTTTGGATTATGAGTTCTATTTTGTGTTAAAATTAAAATATTTAGGTACAAAGTGCATCGTTCTGTCAGAAATCTGATTAGTGGTGCAATTATTTACTCATAGCTGAGGTTTTGAATCTGCCGACTCTGCTTTTTGTTATGGAAATGGTTGAAGTTTATGATGTTGCACAAGATACAGAATTATTTGTGATTTTCCTTTTGCCGTTGGTTGTGACATTTATGGTGGAATTTGATGGTTTTATCTTACTTTTATTAGTTGTAATTGAGTGATTAGTTCAGAACTTGGTGGGTAATGATAAAAATGTGTTACAATATGTATAATAATGCTCTCAGTTTTTCTGGTAATGCTTGGGCTACATTTGAAGTGCATGTAAAGTTTTATATTGAGATTAGTTGGTTTGCATAATTATTTTGGCAAACGCATGCAGGTACTAGATGCAACAGATGATGAACCATGGGGTCCTCATGGCACTGCATTGGCAGAAATAGCACAAGCAACAAAAAAATTGTAATTATCGACTTTTGCACATATTTCCTTTTTTTTCATTCTATTTTGCGTCTTTCCTCTGGTATTGGTGTTTGAAAGAGATATCTCTCTTTATGCTAATTGGATGGGCTGCCATATCTTGTAGCACTGAATGTCAGATGGTTATGAATGTTCTTTGGACAAGACTGGGTGAGACTGGAAAAGACTGGCGCTATGTCTACAAGGTATGTATATTCTTCCATAATATGACTGACTAGTCATCTAATACCAGTAGAAACTTGATATATATTTCCAAGCCTTGTTGGCTTATGGACCTTTTCATACCTTCAAATCTAAAACCAATTCTCTACCAGGCATTGGCTGTTATAGATTATTTGATTTCCCATGGATCTGAACGTGCGGTTGATGACATAATAGAGCATACTTTCCAGATCTCTGTAAGGCTCGAACTCCTAAATTTTTTGAATTGCCTTTGTATTTCTCTTACAATTTATGGAGTAAAGTTGAATTTCCTTTAATATTCTGCTTCCCCTATTTGTTTTGCATTTTGCAGTCCCTCACAAGTTTTGAATATGTTGAGCCAAGTGGGAAAGATGTGGGAATCAATGTCCGGAAAAAAGCAGAAACTATAGTGGGACTTTTGAATAATAAAGAAAAAATACAAGAAGCTAGAAATAAAGCTGCTGCTAACCGTGACAAGTAAGCTTATTTTCTTCAGGAAGTGAAATCATATGCTTACTTGTATTACTGTGATTGACTAACCGTGTCTCTGTTACCATTTTAGGTATGTTGGCCTATCATCTACTGGCATTACTTATAAGTCTGGTGCAGCGTCATATAGTAGTGGCGGCTACCATGGTGGTGGGGATAGGTATGGAGGCCTAAGTAGCACAAGAGAAAGTGACAGCTATAGAGACAGTTATAAAGAGGAGGACCGATATGGAGAAGAAAAGTATGATGCAGATACCTATGTGAAGTCACGTCGAGGGACTGCAAGTGGAAGCCAAGGGAATTCCTCAAAGGAGTCTACACGTCCTGGCAGGTTTAATATTTTATGCTGTTCATTATTAGTTGCAAATTCTTAATAATAATTTGACTAGAGTATAACTTGGCTACACTGTTATTTTTAAGTCGAAGAAAATTACTTGGGCATGTCCTTTTACATTGTTTGTGCACCACATAATCATTAGGACACTGCATTATCATACTTTTTGGTTCTAGGAATCATGTTGCTGTTCTTAATTCTTTTATGTAGATGATGATTCCTTTTTCACTATTCACAATACCTTGATTATGGAAGTTCAAGCTCTATTACTATAACATGTTGGTCTTGTTCACACACATGCAAACACATCAAATGGGAGCTCGCACAATTCCACATGCTTAACACACTCCTGTACACCTGCAACCCTTGCATGTATACCTATTCATGTTTTGCAAAAAAAAATTTCCACACTTCGTCCCACCTTGTCTTAAAAATTTTATTTTGTAATGATTGTTTTGCAGCAAGGATCCAAAGAATAAATTTTCTTCAAAGTTGAGTGATTCCAATAAATACAGTCCAAGCTCAAGCACCCCGTCAAATAATTATGATGCTGATGATTTTGATGATTTCGATCCCAGGGGAACATCCAGTTCTAGTAAGAAAAATTTTCATTTCTTAAGTTGAGAATGCTTCTTCAGAGGTTTTCTTTTTATCATGTAAATCTTAAACATGGTAGAAATCCGGTTTCTATAGTTCATTTTGTTAACAGGCCAAGGGTTGGTTGAAAGAGTGATCCTTTTCAGTAATAAGTTTTATATGGGATGTCAGTTACCAATGCCTTGTTGATTATTATTCTTTTGACAGAGCCAGCGGCTGGAAGTTCTAACCAAGTGGATCTATTTGGACAAAGTTTGATTGATGACCTCTTCGATGCATCAGCATCTGTCCCTACGGAAAAGTCTGCTGTGAATACTGATTCAACAGAAGTTGATCTATTTGCTGATGCAACTTTTGTGTCAGCACCAACTAAAGTGGCAACCGAAGCGAGTCCTAAAGCTCAGGTTAGACAATTTTTTCATCTTAATTTTTGGCAATGCAACAATGAATTATCATAGCTATGCCAATTGAATTGACCTTAAAGAAAGTAGTGGTGTATTTTGTCTTTGAAACAGATATAACTAGCTTATCATGTAATATGAAATTCTATACATCTTGTTCCGTATGAAGCACTGACATGTGTCAACCCCCTGTATCAGTGTTGTCTGTGTCTGACACAGACACATCTCTGATATATCAGAATACATATGACTCAGCAAGATATGGCAAATAATAAGTTACTCAGACATAGCAATTGACAGTAGATTTTCAAAGCCAAACCAAGAAAAAGGAGAGACATTGGTACTGGTGAAGCAATGGTGGAGGTGGCACACCTTGAATTGAAATTTTGAGATCACAAACAAAAATAACTAAAAATATAGGGAGAGAAGCCTTGTTGTCTGTATTAAGTCGATGGATGGCAAATAGAAGAAGAACAAGAGCAAGAAGATGGGCGCTGAAGAAGACATGAAGAATAAGAGAAATTAGGGCTTTCCTTTTAATTTATGTTGGGCTCTTGCCTAACTAACAATTACATGGGTTTAAGCCTTGAGATAATTTAAAACATATTTAATTATTTTTTGATGGAATAAAATTATTTAAAATCAACACTAATTGTCAATAATTAGTTCAATCGCATAAAATATTTAAAAAAGAAGGATTTATATAGGAAAAAATAAAAATAAAAATTATTTATATTTGGTAATGAATTAATCAAAATATATTTATATATTTGATATATTTCTTTATTGCCGTATCCTTGCTATGTTGTGACTTAATTTTTTAGAAAATGCTGTGTCGCTGTGTCTATCTTGTTGTACCTGTACCCCATGCCCATGTCGGTGCTTCATTGTTTTTTCCTTTACCTTGAAATATGGGATGGCAATGATCTCTTATGGGCTAATGGCCAGGTCAGTTCACACCCAAGCAGCTTGTAGTAATTGGAGAATTAAGGATCCCTTTAACCCCCTCCCCTCTTCTCTTTAACACAAAAAATATATCCACTGGCAAAAACACCTTTGCTTATTTGCCATTGGTTTGGTTAAGAATCCATGTGATCTTAGAAGTGCTTTTATCTGAGCATGCAGAGTATTAAGATATGTATAGACAATCTGTTTTTCAGTTGGATGTCATAGAGGTAGTTGACTAGTTAATAAAGGAGTCAGGGTATGTTCTTTAATGAGGAGCTGAAATCAGCTTCCCTCTTTCCCTTTCCTCATTTGTGCAGGAACAGGTTGATCTATTTGCTTCCCAGCCTGCCGTCACTCCTGCAGCCTCTTCAACTGTTGACCTCTTTGCCACCACCGATCCAGTTGTGCAACCAGACACCATCTCACCTAAGTCTGAGCCAGAACATGCTAACATTGTTGATCCATTTGCTGCTGTTCCACTGAACAATTTCGATGGATCTGACATTTTTGGTTCATTCACTTCTCATTCTGATTCAGCTTCAGAAGAACAAACACAGAATCCCATTAATGATGGAAACCTTAACAACTTGAGCACAAAATCATCACAAGACTCTAAATCTCCTCAAAAGAAGGATACTTTTGAGGTGAAGTCTGGAATTTGGGCTGATTCACTGAGCCGTGGGATAATTGATCTCAACATATCTGCTCGTAAGTATCTTTCTTAGCAGCCCATAATATATATTATTTTCGTTATGTAGGAAAACTTGTTTCCACATAGTATATTACATTGTTTTTTATGGTCATTACTTTATGGGTATTAATTGTTTTTTATAGTCATTGTCTAATGACTGTTCTTTATCGATGTTGTATCGTCATTTCAAACGTTGCAGCCAAGAAGGTTTCGCTAGCAGATGTGGGAATCGTTGGGGGATTGACCGATGTAGATGAAAGAGAGAAAGGACCTCCAACAACTTCATTTTACATGGGGAGAGCGATGGGTACTGGGTCTGGTCTTGGTAGAACTGGGTTCGCATCCACACAAGCAGCTGCTGATGATGATTTCTTCTCAAGCCTTGGCAGCCAACAGTATCAATTTGGTAGCTTTAAGAAGTAATTTTGTTCACTTTCCCTAAGCATTCTTTTCCCAATTTGGAAAAAAAAAATTTATCCAACGTGTGGTGCACATTGGTGTGCTAGTTTTCATCAATTCATGATGAGGATACTTGTTATGTATCAATCATGAGGGGGTATTATATCATCGGTACTTCCCACAGTCTTCAAATGTTTCCGTTGGAACTGTTGCTTTGTAATTTTGGTATTGAGATTTCATTCAAGTTGGCACCATATTTTTTGTTGTTCACACTACTTGGAATGATTACTTAATTAGCATTGGGCGAATCAAGTTGTACAGTCTGTAACCGAAGAGATTTTCCCAATATTGTTCCTGTGAATGGATAAAATTATTATTAATATCAATTTCGATGAGATCGTTAACATAGGCATATTATTTGAAAATATTTTTAAGTTAATTATAAATTTTTAAATAAATTTTTACTCTCATACTGCTTTTAATTAAACACATTTTTATTTTAAATCAGATAAAATTTTATCATTAATAATTGATTAATTGATATTTATAAAAATATTATTTATTATTTTATATTTATATAATATTAAAATATTATATAAATATGTTAACATTAGATATGTTAACATGTAATATCAAAATGTCATATTTTATTAACATCATGTGACATTAAATAACAAGTAATATTTTAACTTACAATGAGAAAAATTTTATTTAATTCAAAATAAAAAAATAATTTTTTTTAAAATTTTTTAAAAATTTTAAAAATTAATTTAAATATTATATTATTAACATCCAGTAATCCTCCTACCATACAGTAACTCCTTTGTTCTCTCCATCTACTAAGCTCTTCTATAAAAAAGATTTGAGTTTTTACTATTTTTGGATGATGAATGTCATATTGGATTCACCATAGCTTTCCCTGTATGGAAACATGATTAATTATATTCTTTAATCCTCGTATATTTGATGCCCTAAGCCTGGTAAAGGCCACCCTTATCGCTGGATTTATAGAATATTTTCATTTTTAGAACAAGAATCAATTTGCATCTAAAGGCTACCTCCAATACCAATGTAAAGTCTGCAATCAGATCAAAGCAGCATTCGATCAGATGGGTAATAACGACGGTTGTACATACAGGGAGGTCAGGCAAACACAAATCTATAGGGAGTTTGTGATCATTTGATTAAAAGTTTCAGGAGAGAAGCCACCTAAGAAACACTCTCAGTATAAATCCATCATTCTTCCCCTCAGCATGGCTTCAGCTTTTCTCACCTGCTTCACAGGTCCTATGATGAATACCTGCAAAAAATTCCAGAGAGATATAAAGAGCTCAATTATTCAGATAACAGATAGTAAGTCAAAGTAAGTACATGTACATTCTCGAAAAGAATAAAAAATTTTACGGTATATGTAGCAGCTAGGTACTACAGCAAGGTAATTCTTTAAGATCTCAAAAAACTAACCTTGTCTGGTGGACCCTTAGCACCCCCAACCAGGATTTCCGCGCTGCAAGAAAATGAATTTGAAGTAAAGTATAGGTAGAAAAATTTGTAGCTCCAAACTTAAAGGAGAAATGTGCATGCATGTTCGTAGGGAGAGGGAGAAAGAGGCATATTACTTGCAAGACTCCTTTATCGACAAGATTGAAGCCCCTTTTCTTCCAATAATACGCCCCATCTTCCCTTGCGGAACATCAAGAATAGAAAGTATTTCTTCCTCAGGAGTATTCCCCTCCAAGTGATCTACAGAAATAAATCTCACCCTCGGTCGGTATCCAATTAGAATGTACAATATTTTTACTTGCATTCTCAAAACAATTTTCCTTCTCTCTAATGAATAATGCTGAGTACAGTACAATTACAAGTATAGTTTGAAACTTGAGTGTTATCATAATACCCACCATCACACTAGACGAGAAATGCCATTCTCTATCAAAGCATTACGCTCATTCAAACTTCATGAATATATGCCACATTACCTTTTCTTTGTTGATTTGGGGGAAAAAGGATCCAAACCCTGCTCTTTGAGCAAGAAGATACATGCACTAACCAGTAAAAGCCAAATACTTTATGCATATGCCGCATTACCTTAGTCGAAGGTAAAAGACTAAAATCCACTAATCAGGAAATTATATGGAGATACTCAGTATATAGCAACAAATGTGCATGTTTATGTGTGAATGAGAGAGAGAGAGAGAATCGCATAAATGAATACTGGCTCTACAAAGCTCAGTGAATTAATTAATATCTTTCTCCAGGACTCTAACAAGAAATAAATAATTATAATACAGTCATTATGAATACAAGAACCTGGAATGGGAGGAACAGATGGCCAATCAGCATAGTTATTATCATTGATGCAGAAACATCGGCAATACAATGCTCCACGAACTGCAAGGTGCCATAAGGATCGTCGATTTAGTTTCTCCATCATCATGTGGTAAATGTATAGAAGGAAGCGGACATCATCTGTAGCAGCACGGACCATAAGCTCAGATAATGGTCTGTAAGTCCAAAACTTGGGATCCTGCAGATAGGCAAGACATAATTGTGATTGGAAAGAATTCAATTTTCATAGTATAGTGAAGTAGGATTATTATCAACAATGAAGCATCTGCATATGCACAGAACTTCATCGAGAGAAGAAGAAATTTGATTATTGATCTACATGTAATCACATGACAAATAAATAGGAAATGTTTTCAAATCTACTTCTGTTGATATTGCCAAGCTATTTTCAGATTGGTCTTGTTCTCTGTAAGGGGAAATTTGGGCTAAACCTTCACCACCCACTAACATTTGAGTAGTGGCAAGAAACTTGCTATCCTTACTAGCTAGCTAGATGGCATCAAAGATCAAAAGAGCACTGTGCAGAGCGTGAATAAATTGGGAGAAGGGGGGAAATAATCAGTATAAAGACACGCTAATGTTCCAGCCAGCTACTTACCAAACTAGGATATCGAGCATGAAATGCATAATTTGCTGTCAATAAGAAAGCAAATACCAAATAGCTTTCTGGACTCCACAAAAGGACAAGAGGGAATTACGTTTACCCCAACCACTCCAGCAGTATAATTAAAAGAATTTTATGTTAGTGATAAATTGTTTAAACTAACCTGCCTAAGGAGGAGACGAACCTCTTCCTTCTCCTGATAAGATATGCCTGCATTTAAAGTATCAGGGCAAAAATCGGAAGTCAAAACAATCCAGTGCCTGTAACTTGATGAGGAAGTTAAACTTTGCTGGTTTAAAAGAAGCCTATAACACATCCAGTTTCAAATAGCATAAAGAAACATTTATAAATCTTCCATACAATGTCATATCAAAGCATCATTACTTCTCATATGCGGAAGTTTGGAAAGTTGAAAGAAACAAATAAACAAAATGTCAGATTCTGCATGGTCACAGGAAGGCAAACATAACTGCCTGATTTCAGCAGTAATTGGAGCACACTGGTTAAGTTACATCAACCAAAAGAACAGAAATGGGTCCTTCAAGGCAATTAATAATACCTATTTCCAAAAGCCATTTAACACAACATCTTAAAGACTTTGCAAGCAAAAAATATATTCGTTTAGCACAGTTACGCTGCAGATTAAAAGGTTCCACGACCCGCATTGATTAAATTCAAAAAGATACCAGGAAATATAAATACCACAATAGCGTGGATCTGCAAGGAGGCTAACAAATGATATGTAGTCATCAAGCAATCTTGTCCGTCCTTCTTGTTCCTCTATAAGAGAATAAGCAATCTGCAGGGCAACGAAAAAAAAATTGCAATGTCAAACTACTCAACCTTATTTTAGTAGCCGTCATATCGATTTGGACAATATTTAAAGCAAGCAAGAACAACCAACTTCAAGATTGAAGCAGTGTGTTTTTGAATGCATCCATGTGGATGGAAATAAAGGAATGAAATAAGCACTTACAAGCAAGCATTGAGAAAAAGAAAAGAAAGAGAAATGAAACCACAAACATTAGGAAAAACCTCGTTTAAAGTGCTAATTAGATAGGCTTTAAATCCACCAAAGTACTCCACAATGGAGTAACAACAAAAGTTAACATGAAAGGAGCATAAAAAGAAATTACTAGTATTTTCATATGATTTACCAGTTTAATATGGATAAGTCCTCAATCTCAAAAAGGATGCTCACCTGGGTGTCCATAACATTGTGTAACTTGATGCCAAATTGAAAGTACAATGCCTGTAAAATAACAACAAATTCTAATTTGCCATAAAGCAAATCAAATACACTATAGTGCAAAATTCAAATGAGAAACAATTAGACACCTCACTATCTCGTTTGCAATCGTGAATAACTTTTTTGACGTAACTAGACTCAAGTGCAGGCTTACAGGCTGTTATAAGCGCCTCACCACCCTCAATGGCGTCAACCAAATATACAGCATCTGGAAATGCAAGCTGCCAGAAAAAAGTATTTCTATAAATCTTAGAATAGCACAGGCAAGTTAAGGTATTTTGATTTTTAAACTAACTACGTCAAAAAAAAACCACTCTCCTACATAACATAACATACATGTCTTACAAACAAACCATAGTTCTTCATAAAGCATATCATTATTGACTCAAGCAGCTACCTAAACTTTGAATAATTTGAGTCAAACAGTCATTAGAACTATAGTTAACCTGCATAATACAGAGAGTGCCGTGGCGACAAAGGTCAACACCTTCACAGTCAAAACCTACTACCAACTGCCTCTCCGGCGTAGGATTCAGGAACTCCACCGGAAGCTGAGAAGCATTGGTCACTATATGGATAGGAACCATAGGAGCTTCATTGTCTAATGGCTTACCACCTGCAACACATGCATCAAGTCATCAAAGTTCAAAATTAAAACTAATCCAAAATAGATTCAGTTAAATTCTATAAATAATATCCATAAGCAATATATAAAAAAAAAAGAAAAAAGTAAAGAACAGTGAAAAATCAGTGATCTGAACTGACGTTTCAGTTATTTTCTTCACCAAAACAGGCCAGTCGAAGTGAATTAGGACATGAGATCAAGAATCAAATGGCGGATAATCCACCACTATAAACTAAATTTGAATTAAACAGAAAAAAGCACAAGAGCAAACTTATAACTCAAACCAGAAAAACTTTTAAATTGATAATAAAAAGGATTACGAGATTAAATACCAGAATTTGAAGGGAGAGGAACGTGAGTGCGATGAGAAGGAGGAAGGTGAGACGAAGCCATGCGATCGGACCATCCAAGCAGATCAATTTTTGTTTTTCCTTTTTCCGTTTGTCCTTCCTTCAATCTGAAGTCTTGACCGAATTTATAGTACTCTCCTGTTTTCCCCCTTTTTTTTTCACTGTGGTCTTTCTCGCTAATGGGATTTTTGTTTCAAGGATGATCTGGAGCGGAAGGTAATACGCTATTACGAAACGACTCGCTTTAGTTTTTCGCCACGTCATCTAAAACTTGATCCTTCATTTTATATTTCTCCCGTTCTAATGTTCTCATGCATGAGCATGACTTTATTGATAATATGCCACATTAAAATAATTATGTGAACTATGATGCACTGTCAATCACACACGTACTAAAAGATTAAAAAATTAGTAGCATTTTATGTAATGTAAGAGAAACGGAAATTGTATTACCATTCCATAAGAAGAATGAAATCTTTGGAAATTGTATTACTATTCCATAAGTGTCATACCTTTCTTTTTTATTTCCCCACGCTTTAAAGTAATCCTATAGTATATCTTGGAAGGTAAGCAAAGGTATATTGATAATCCAAATTTGTATCATAAGTTACCTAAAAGTTATACTTTGTAATAAAGAAAAAGGGATTTTGGTCTATTTCATAAGAGTCAACTCATTAAAAAAAATTGAATAATAGATAGCGATAGAAATTATTTATTTTTATTTGATTTTTTTAATAATTTTGCATCAAATATTAGATAAACTCTTTTTATTAAAATATTAAAATATAAAAGTAATTTTTTAAATTTAATAAAAAATAAAATTATTTTTTAATATTATCATATTATTAAATTAACAAAAATATTAATAATTAATTGATGATTAAATTTTTATGTTCCGTAGAATATACTTTAAGATGCATTTTAAAAAATCAATGTATTACATAAAATTATTATTAAAATTTAAAGATATTAATGTATTTTACTTAACAAAAAACTAAACAAGTATCAAATAAAGACAAAAGATTTATATTGACTGCGAGAATGGCATGATTTGAGACAATCTCTGTTAATATCAAAACGACATTGCGATGAGCCGCATATACTATATTGGCACGTAAAAAAATGAATTGCTGGAAGCGAACGGGGATGGCTAGAAAAATGCTTAATGAAATAGACACATGCCGGCTTGGCTTGCAGTATTATTTTCCTGGTTAAAAAACTGAGCATCGGCAGAAATCTAGGATGTAAGCACCACATTTCTCACATCGTGCTTACACTGCGATTTAAAACTATTTGGCGATAGGATAAGCATTAGTTTTTAAATTTGTTAATACCATCATTTATGTTGACGTCCAGGGATTATTTAAGGTTGCAATTTGTAAACAAAAATGCTGATTAAGTGCTCTATTTGGTTCCAATCATATTTATCGAAAGACAAATAAAACAAATAATTAACTAAATAAGCTTCGTTAACAAGGTGGCAATAGTTAGGATTTTATTTTTAAATTATTATATAAAAAATTTTAATTTGAAGTTACGTTGTCGTGGTTGAATTTATGTAATTTTATGAAAATATATATAAAAAATTGAATTGTAATGTTCAATTGAATCTGATCAAGGCTTTATCATATTTTATTCAATTTTAATTTGAACATTAAAATAATTTATTTGGTTTCAGTTCAATTTATCCATTTGTAAAGTGAAAATTTAAAAATATTTGAAGTGAATGGATGGAGTTTTTATTATTTTTATATTTTCTAAATTAAAATAAAATATGAACAAATAAAAAAAATTGAAATTTAAAAAATTGATTAACGAAATTAAATAAAAATTGATTTAAATAAATTCTTTTTCAATTCAATTTAGGTCAGAAGTCTATAAATAAATTATTTTTGTTCAGAACCATGCTGTCATGAAATTCCGAACACAAAGATTGGCGTGGAACTATCAATATCTTTTGTGGCAAATATCGGTCTCCACTCGCCATTTCTTCGTTTTGTTTATCAGGAATTTCTTTGTAACTTTGTTGGCTTTCGAGCTGTTCGGCACAAGGATTAGTGTGACACGTGGCGATTCTCCAATGGTGGGTGTAGGTTTAAAAGTGTTGCACTAAAACGTGGGACCTTTTTCTTAATATGGACAGCACACGTGCACACGGGCACCGATGATGTGTACGATTTGCACATTTCTTGTCAACTGGGATTTATTTCCAAAAACTAACAGAAAAAAAAGTAAAAATTTACTTAATTAAATTTATTACTAAATAATAAAAATAAAATTATAAATACTCCTTCAATTTTTTTTTCATCTTTTGTTTTTCCAAGGTCCTTCAATAAAATCTTTATGTTATTTTTTAAACATCTAACAATTTTACTTTTTGCACGATACAATTTTATTTTTTGTAATTTTTTAATCATTTTGTATTTAAAAGTATCGAATATTAATGTTATAAAAGTTTTTAAAATTTTAATATAAAATACATTAAAATCAAAATTTTTATCTTAATCCAGATTAAAATCAAAGAAGAAAAAAAACAGAGAAGTATTTCTTACCGTGAATAGTTGGATTGTAAAATTGCCAAATGCTTAAAGTTATTTCTCAATTGAAAATTCCCTACATAACCCTTAACAAAATATTAATTTAATTTATAAAATTATTTATTTCAATATTAATGAAATAATTTGAATTTGAAAATTATTAAAATTTATTGATATCACAAATATGTAGTATATTTTATTTATCTATTTTTTTAATATAAAAATTCCTGACCAAACACGATTATGTTCTGTCTCATTTAAAGTTAAAAGGACAGGAGTGATTTGCAAATAAAGATCCTTCTTTCAGCACTGAATAAAATCAAGCTCAAGATTTTATACCAAGTAAAGACATCATTAAGTCTGAAGTCATTACAATAGAAGGAGCCCTAAAAAATGGACTTGGGGATTGTGGTGCCAAATGTCAACAGCACGCCAGTAAAACAAAATCCAATGTTAATTTTATTTTATTTTTTGGCCAATGGAAAGATCCAAAAGTGGGAGAAGGCTAGTTTTGTAAAATGCCTCAATGGTTAAAATGGATAAGAATGGTTGGGCCAACCATGGCAAAGGGTAAAATATTAAAAATCCAAGGGGAGCAGCTTCTAGTTCTATCCAAAATGGGCCCACAATCCAAGCGCTTTTGCTCTTTCTCTTTCGCTTTTCTAAGACCAGCCATGATTTTCTCTTCCTTGTTTCTCTTACTTCCTCTCCCTCCCCTTATCCTTCTTCGGAATCCCTAATTAAGCTTGCCCTTCCAATTTGCCTCTCTTTCTCACTCTTGTCGAATCTCTTCTCTCTTCTCTATCTACTATACCTTTTTGTGTTTTTACCTATCCAAACCATACTTTTATTTGAATCACATTGTTTTTTCCTATTTCCATATAATTCACGTTTCCTTTTCTTCCCCTTTTCTAAGTTTCAGTTACAAATTACCATTTTCCGAACTGGGTGGTCTCTGAGTTCTTGTAAATCTGTTTAATCTTGAGTCAAACAGTCCAATTTGACATCTGGGTGTTGACCAATTTAAGTTTCTTTAGAGTCGGTTTAGGTGTTGAATCCCTTTGCTTTTGTGAAAATTTGATTTTTTTACTCAAAAGACTTTATGGATTGTTAAACTTTTAGTTTTTAGAGGTGGATTTTAATTTTAGTGGTGTGGTTCACAGGATCTCTGTGTGAATTCTATGTAAAAGTGAGTGTTGGTAATTGTGGTTTTCTTTTCTTCTTTTTTTGGGTTGAAGATTGAGTGAGAAAAGTAAATAATGAAGAGAGGGAAAGATGATGAGAAAATTATGGGGCCTATGTTCCCTAGGCTTCACGTTAATGATACAGAGAAAGGAGGGCCAAGAGCTCCTCCAAGGAATAAGATGGCTCTTTATGAGCAGCTCAGTATTCCTTCACAGAGGTTTAGCCCTGCGGTCTTGCCTCTTAACCCAAGTAGTAAAAGCAGCTTGGTTCCTCCTGGTTCCTCAAGCCTGGTATTTTTCTTATCATTTATCTGTCTCTTTGTTATTCTATTGGTATATTATGGTGATATTTTTACACATCTGTTGGGGTTTGGTGAGGGGTTTTATTTCCTTATGAAGATCAACTCATTACTTAGTAAACTTTGTCTAAATGGAGCATGAATTATAGTAATTTTATAGGCATGGTGATTTATACTATCTCTGATTGCTATAACTGATTGATGCTTGCAGGGGAGTAGCCTTGAAAGAAATATGCTTTTCCCATCTCGTGTATCTCTTTCCACATCCACTAATCTGGCTGAGAAGTTTAGTACTCGCCAGCTTGGAGGAGCAAGTGTAAATGCTCCTTTGGCACGCCTTGAGCAGAGAAAGGTCAGAGATGAAGATGATTTCATGGTTCCTGTATTTGTTAACTCAGAGACAGGTCACCAACATAATAAAACCAAGAATGGCTTTGATGGGGAAAAACTCACTCCCTTGAGCCCAACTTATCCCAGCCGTCAAATAAAACTCCAAAATGTTTGTGATAAGGATCCAAATCGGAGTAGCTATTCTGGTGTGAATTTAAGAAAAGAGGTTAGAGACCAGATTGAAGAGAGCTCAAGAGTGTGCTCATGTAGGGAGCGTTCAGTAAAAACTGCCGCAGACTTATCAACTAGAGAAAATAGTGATGGACATGCCAAAGAAGCCAATATGTCTCTTGATCAAGATTGTGGAGAGCACCCTGCTTCTAGACTTAGCAGATCGCATGAAAATGATGCTTGTTCACTGCAACAACCAGCTAAAAACGGGTGCATTAATGGTGCTGAGTTGATGAGAGATATTGATGAGGGAATTCTTCCCCGGCAGAGAAGCATGTCTTATTCAGAGGGGAATCACAGCTGTCCACATGAAACTAATAATGACAGTGAATGCCGTGGAGACAAGACATATGGCTCACTACAGTGGGCAAATGGAGATAAAAGCGACGATGTCTCAGAGACCTCCATGGTGGATTCTGCATCTGGCTTGGCTATCTGTCCTGATGATGTGGTGGAAGTAATAGGTCAGAAGCATTTTTTGAAAGCAAGAAGAGCCATTGTCAAGTAAGTGTTCATGGTTAGTTACAATGTCTTGGAATTATTTCACTTTTCAGGATTTATATTGGAGAGGCCTTGTGATTTTTTTTAAAATGCTTATTCATGTTATCTTCTTATAATATATTGGCCAAACAGTGGAAGCCTTGTGCTTCTGAAAATGAGAGAATGCCAAATTTAGGTGTGCACTTACACAAGAAGCTTTCTGGGTCCCTTAGGAGGAGGGGTGGAACTAGAATTCTAGTCTATATGGCCATGTTTCAATGTGATGTTTCAGAGGATACCTTGGCTGGTCCAATGGTGAAATTCTTGTCGTGATATTTGACATAATGCAAGTAGAGCTCTTGAGATTGGTCATTTAGGAATTAGTGCTCCCAAGACCTTGAAGCAATTTTATAGATTGATATATCCACATAAGATAAAATATGAAATGTTCCCTGCAATCTGTACATGAAAATATTATTGAATTACCTTTATTAGTTTAAATGTGATTAATATGTTCTGAGGGTTGTTCTATTTATTTGTTAGTATCTTCTCTCTTGTTACATATGGAGCTATAACTTTTAGGTCCATGATTGTTAGCTACTAGAAATAAAAGCACTGCTTTTTTAGTCATTATGAAAGTTTTGAGTGCTGCGTCCCTCTTATTTATTGTGGTTTTTTTCTTCTTTTTTGAATGTAAGCAATCAATCACAATAGGTGAGTTTTAAATACTTCCTCTAGGCTGATATTACAATTGGACATAGACTACGATCAGTATTTCACTATCTCTAGTTGTTATCACAAGTTAAAGTTGCCTTTAGTTTGCTGAATGCAATATGGATTACTAATAGTAGGAATATGGATTAAATGCTATATTGTGGGGAGTAGTAAATATGGCTTTGATGGAGGGGAGAATTTATGCTCTGGAGGCCTGGGATTCCTCCCAAAGTGGCATTTTTGTGTTCAGAGGCCCTCGATAACGTATTAACCGTGGATCATCTTCCAGCAGGGAGAGGACTATCCTAATTTGTGCAAGGCAACATCCGAGACAGCGGAACTCCTATTATTCATTGTCTGCTCATCTGCATTTGGGTTTTATTTCTGTCTCGGTTTGATGCTGACTTCACCTTTTGGTCCTGAGAAATTTTGCTTCCATGGCACCCAAGGGCTTGGACAGGAGGAGAACAAGAAGCGGAGGATTACCCCTAGAGCTAATGTTGGTGGATGTCAAAGGAGGTGAACTGGGGAATGTTTGAATAATTTGAAGTTGGTGATGGTTATTTTGGCAAATGAGATGTTGTCTAGCATGGTATCTTGGGTTCTGTGGCGAAGGATTTTTTTGGAATTGGGATCTATAAGCAGAACTTAATATTACAATTTAATTTAATAGTTCTGTCCTATGTACAGCTTCTAATTGTTGTACATTTGTATAAGTTTGTATGCTTAACTCATTTTTGTGCATATTCCTGTTCAAGAAAATATCTGTTTGTGTACATAGTGTAAATTGAAAGAAATTCTATTTGCAACAAATGCATGTGGCTTTGGCTTTGTTTTTATTGTACTGAAGCTAAATGTTCTGCATTTGGCTTGCCAAGAAGATGGCATTCAAAGAATTTCTGAGTTATGGTTATTGCTAGCCTTCAAATTAATTATTTTGTGTTTTCTACAATGTAATGCTAGCATATTTGTGTGAATGGTATTGCCTTCTTCTGTTTGTTAGACCCTGATTTAGCATTATCCTAATTGCTATCAAGATCATAAGGTATATTGTAGAAAGTGTTGCCATTTAGAGCTGGAAAGAGGTTTCACCTATCAAAGAAAGCTGAAGGAGGTTTCTGTTATGAAAGAGTCACAAGTCACCCCTCCTGAAACCTGAGAACAAGGATTGAGGATAAGTGGGAGGAATCATAGACTTAAACTCAAACTTATTAACCACTTTAGTCACTTTGTCCTCATATGACGCAATTCTTGTCTGTGTACTAATTTTTTCAAAATTATGTTATCTAGTGCTTATTCTGATGAATATCCAGTTGATATTGTCTGTTCACCTGTCAGTGATTGTATGTCTGTTAAAACTGAAATATTATGACCTCTGCAAGTTTTTCTTGATCAACTCCTGTTACTCTCTACAGTCAGCAAAGAATATTTGCAGTACAAGTGTTTGAGTTGCATAGACTTATTAAGGTAAGGTGGTCCATGACCTTGTTTAGTAGTTTTTGCTGGTTCCCTTTTGGATACATGCACACACACTCACCTGTATACATATAGTCAAAATGCTTAATGCTTTGGGTTGAAACAGGTTCAGAGACTAATTGCTGGATCGCCACATATCTTGCTTGAGGATACAGCATATCTCGGCAAACCTTCTTTTGAAGGCTCTCCTGCAAAGAAACTACCACCAGAGTTTATTGTAAAACCACTACCACACACTAAGTGCAAAGATGACACTGACAAGCCAAGTCATAAAATGGAATGTTCTGCAGAAAATGCAGTTGGTAGGACATCCCTCTCTTCAGTGAAAAATGGTAGTCAGCCTTCAAACTATGCACCTTTCCTTGGAAACTCACCACCTGCACCAGTTAATGGTGATAATAAAATGAATCCTTGGTGTTTTCATCAAATGCCTGGGCATCAATGGCTGGTCCCTGTCATGTCCCCTTCCGAAGGACTGATATATAAGCCGTATACTGGTCCTGGATTCATGGGATCCGTTTGTGGAGGATGTGGACCTTTTGGACAAACTCCAATGACGGGCAACTTTATGACATCAGCTTATGGAGTTGCAGCTCCTCCTCATCAAGGAATTGGGGTTCTACCAGGTGCTCCTCCTGTTGGTCACTCATACTTTCCTCCTTATGGGATGCCAATCATGAATCCAGCAGTCTCAGGTTCTGCTGTGGAACAAATGAACCAATTTGCTGGACCTGGTTCCTATGCCCACAACGGCCAGTTTTCTGGAGGTGGGGCAAACTTTAACATGCAACATCAAAATTCATGTAATTTGCCTAGTGAGAAGAATGGTGCTATTTCGCATGTCAAGAAGTTTCAGGCATCTAAAGACACTGAACTACAAGGGAGTACAGCAAGCAGTCCTGGTGAGAGAGTGCAGAGAGATGGGACCCGTAGTGCTGCTGAAGGCAAAAATGCACTTCCGCTGTTTCCCACAGCTCCAACGATTCTGGAGGGAGCCTCTCAACCTCACGATAGTGAGCAGACGACAAGAGTGATAAGGGTCGTGCCTCACAATCCAAGATCAGCCACTGAATCAGCAGCTCGTATTTTCCAATCTATACAGGAAGAGAGAAAACAATACGACTCGGTTTAGCTTGTTTATGTCAAGCAACCGATTACTGGTAAAATGATCTGGGACTCATCTAGCTAGGTGTGTTGCTTGGTCATTTTCTCTGTACTTTTGGGTAATGATACTGTAACCTTTTCCTACTAATTTTCTGTTTTACCGGTCTGGTTATAGGTTAGCCATATGTAGATATGTCTTTGAAAGTTTACAAGTGAATGTAACATGAATTTGTTATCTCTTCAATACTTTCTGATTGCTATTACGGAGGAACGAGGATAGTAAATTCCTTGTATACCCTAGACTGCAGGCTTATTAAGAGCTTTGCTTTCCTATCAACATCTACAAGAGTTTCTTAGAAGTAACTTATGCATCCATACTAAGGTACTCAAACAAGATAAAGCCGGTACCAAGAAAAGCCTAGAAATCAGTTTTGCTCCTCAGCGATGAAGCACTAATCTATCTGAATGGTAAGACAGTAATGGTAATCTGAATGAAGACACTAACCCAAATTACATTTAATTTTATAAATCCCTTATCTGTCCCTTAGGTTCAGGTTTCTTTAACCTTTTGCTAGTTACTGATGAGTCTTTAAGAACTTGCTAGCGTATCATCCATTCTGACTTCTGGAAAACATAGAACATACTCCTTTCACTTATTATCGGGACTAACCCCACAATCCTATAGAAAGAAAGAAAGAAGGAAAATTGGCAGCAGCAACCAATTACGGCAGCCACTACTAGTCCTTAAGGGCACATGAGATTCCTGCCTGGGCCCCCAAAATAGAATTCAGGATCTTCAATGTAATCTCCAACATATGTCGAACGATAGCAGTTGTATTCATCCACTTGGCTACCCACCCACTCTGGGAACTTCAAGTTATAAGAGATGTCAAGTACTCGCATTCTTTTCACGAATCCTGAATTGCCAGTGATATAATCAGGAAATCTTCCATTACCCATGGCTGTTTTTGTATGGGGAGAGCGCCTTAACTTGGAGCTGTAGACATCGCCTCCCCACTCTGCGGATTCTGCACCCTGACTCAATCTTGTAAACAAGGTTCTTGGCCAATACCCTATGTTGGTTTTTTCTCCATACTGCACCCATATATTGCTTGTTTTGGGATCCTGAGCTTCAAAACCAAGTAAAAGATAATCAGAAGATTGAGGACTCAAAAATGCAAGGCTCACAAACTAATATTTCAATCCATGCACCAGTCCATGTTTTAGTGATTTTGGTTTTGATAATTGAATGATAGTTTCAGCCTTGAGTTTTATCGCTAGCATTCTTAGTATTTTCACTATCAAGAAAACAGACTACTACTTTTAACAGCCAAAGTTGAGCTCTATATTTCCTGACCTTAAACATGAAGAGAGTTATCTGATATGGGAGCCCGCCGAAGACTGAGATAGGATAAATTGCTGCTCCAAGAGCAATTTCATTGCTAATTTGAACAAAGCCCGGGCAAGTCACATCAAAACAACCTGTTGAGTTTGATGCATCAGCCTATACATGGAAAAAAATATTTGGTTATTGATCAGATATGTATAGCACAGTGCAAGCAACATGTTGACTAGAAAGAATGCAGATGCAATTGTGCCCCAGAAAGATTTCTTTTAAAGCTTCAAGGCAATCACTCATGGTTAAAATGTACTTACAGTCCAGTACACATATAATCGAGTTTGTCTGTCTCCGTAGACAGTCGGGTTCACCTGAAAAGTTCAAAAATCAATCCTAGATTAATAAATATAGGATCTAATATGTAAAATCTTTAGCTAAGGGGAGTTCGTACTAACCGCCCATCCAGATTCAACGCACTCAAAATCAAAGTAAGGGCCATTTCTGAGGCTGATTCTAGATGTACTGTATTCATCATCAGATTCAACATGAGGATTCCAGACTTTGATGTCTCCTTTGACCCCAGCATAATTATACCCTGCTGTTAGCAATATTGCCTTCTGGTTCACATAAAGTTGGGCCAGAAATGCAAATGTGCCAATGAGAAATAGCAGATTTACCGTAGTTAACTATTGAACAACTGAAGTCTAGTACAGAAAGTGATGGATACCGAGTGATTCACTTGGTTTATTTGTTGAAGGGATAATGGAGTCTCCTTATTGCTTGGCTCCTTAACAGGTTTATAGCTTGGTTTCTTCTTCGAATGGCCTTCCCCAGAGTCGGATAATAGCCCTTTATTCCGGGTTCTGCGAACTGGGATTGTTCCTTTCGGGCAGCTTCCACTTTTCTGCCATAGTTGAGATGTCATAATCCTGGAAGATTGTTCACTCGCTGGAGTTTCCTCCATAGTTGGGTTATAACTTGGCGTCATCTACATGGAACGAACAATAGTTTTGGTTACAAACAATTCCGACGGAAACAAAATATCAGAACATCCAAGCAGCTAGAAATAAAGCTAAACAATTGAATTTTAATGTTCTAGCTGCAATCAAATGCATACCTGGATGATGTGATTCCTCAAAGCAGGATGATCCAACGCAGGCTGCTTGTAAATGTCAATGCAATCTATAATGTCACCATCTTCACTCTGCAAGCAAAAACATTTCCTGCTCAAATGCATTGACTGGTTAAACAGTTTATATTATTCAAGAAATGAAGCATGAAACGAAATTCACATACTATAACGTGGTCTTTTCACTGGCAGGCGACTTTCAAGGTTGCAGCTTTCAGAAGTGCTGCTTATGACAATGAATATGGAGAGCAATATAGGATAAAGGAATCAAAAACCTATACCTGAATGGATTTCACTGCATGCCTTCCGGGGTTGTTTCCTTTTCTTCCTTCCACAATCTTCAGTCTAGCTAAGCCCAAGTCACCCTCCCCAAGCACATTACAAAGTGTTAACCCCAAGAGAATAACCATGGCTTCAAACCTAGGAGAATACAAAAAACCAGTTCTCATTTGTTACTCTCAGTTTCCTATCCCTGAAAGTTGTTTGTATGTAATCACAAGTTCTGATGGTATAATTATGAAGATGGAAAACTCTTTGGAATGCTGATATAGACTCTCTTGATTATCAAAATAGAGATGTAAGCAGCATTATTTATTTCAAGTCGCACAAAATTTGCATGATTCACCTTCTAATCATTCATTTTCTATTTACACTTTCAACATTTGAATCATACTTTGCAAACAAGATATAGAAGTGAATTTTTAGCCATACTTTAGAACCATCAAATAGATATAACGTATTGTTAGTAAATTGGAAAAAAAGAAAAAAAAAAAAGGAACCTTAAAAGCAAAACATTTAACTTAAGTAGCCATAGACAAAGCGGCACAAAAAGGGGAGCTAGAAGTTTTAATATTTGGATTCTAACATACATAATGATGAATATATATATATATATATCATTTCAATTTGCAAAGGGTAAACAATTTAAACTTTGCTTAGTAGTTACAATTCCTTCTTCTTGCTCAGTAAAAATAATAAATTACTTTTGAATGCAGAATATTTTATTAATTTTATTAATAATTTTATTAAATAAATTTAATAGTGTAATTTTTTAAAAAAATAAAAAATTAATTAAACAAATTTTTATGTGGTGTTAATTGTGGAAAAAAACATAAAATGTCTTGAAAAAAATTGAAATGACGAAAATTGTAAGTGAAATTTATTCAAAAAGTAATATTTTTTTTAAAAAAAATAATATCTGGCTGTAACTTACAATAAGCTATAAACATAAAGTGAATACGTTTGGGCCTTGGAATAAAGGAATTAATCAAATGAAAATTAAAAAGAAAAAAGGGGGAATTAGGAGAAAGAATAAACATTAAACCATCTTTTGTTCTAAATAATTTCATGTCAAAAGTATCATTTCCAGTATTAATGAAAATATTGGTTCAAATATTATTTGCCCTTTACACGTGGCCACTCAGTACTGGCATATTCGGCCACGCTGGAGGCGGGGATATATTCTAGAAGGATCAAACCAAAAAAAAAATCTAAAATCCTTGGAAAATGGAAATATAAAAGGAGTCGTCAAGTCCGCACAAAAGATTGTTTATTTTCCTCCCACATCCCTATTTTCATCCTGTGCACGGAGGAAGTGAGAGAGGGAGAGTGAAAGAGAAAGCTTGGGATTGACGCCACTAGGCGAAAATGGTGAACTTCATGCTGAAGATCGCTGCCGACCTTGAAAATCTAACGAACCTCCAGCCTCAAGGCGGCTGCGACGATCCCTCCTTCTCCTATCTCTTCAAGGTCTCTCTCTCTGTGTCTGCCTTTGACTTTGCTTTTCTTCGCTTGAGCTGAGCTCATTTCATTTCGATATGGTTTCCGGGCTTCGAACTGTTTCTCTTTGCTTCTTTAAACGCAGATTACTACTCTTATTGTTGCTTGAATCCAGTATGTTCTCTGTTTTAATCCTTCTTTCAGTTCAAATGCCAGATTATTAGTTGAAATCTTCTTTTCTCAACTTTTTGGCCTTGTTTTTGGTTTTAAAATAGTGAATTATTATAAGTTACTATATTTGATAATTCATCAATCATCATTTGAGTTGAATTTATAATATTTTATTCATTTTGCTTCATTTATCGCAACTGCAAATGCACGAAGATTTACTTTATCTATCCGCTGCAAATGTATTTACCATTGACTTTATCTATCCGTTTATAATTTTTTCCTTCAAAATTTGATTCCATTTTCTTATTCTATTTTTTTAATCTATTTCTCGTTATATTTATGTGATTTTACGCCTTTTTTTTTTTTTATGGATTGCGATTAAAGATTCAGTGAAATCGACATAGATCTTCTATATTTCTATTATTTTTGGATGGCTATGCTTTTAATATTTCTTTCTTTGATTCCTTGCATAGTTTTCTTGCAATCTCTTCCTTGCAGATCTGATATCATTTTAATAGATTTTACTTAACTTTTCTTATTCTTCTTTCTCCTTGCATAGATAAGGATGATGATAATTTACTATTAACATCTCTCTCAAATCCTTGCTCTTTTTGTATGTCCTGGCTTTACAAGGTTTCATTTCACTAATATTTGAAATCTTGTATCTTTTTGCTTATTTGGAGTTTCAGCTGAAATGCGGTAGGTGTGGAGAGTTGAGTCAGAAGGAAACATGTGTGAGCTTGGGCGAATCCATTCCTCTTCCTGTGGGCAAGGGAACCACCAATCTCATTCAGAAGGTAATCTTGTGTACGTGTATTGTCAGTAAATGAATTGATTTCAAGTGAAAGGTCATTGCAATCCGTGGATTTTATGTCTGTTTGGTTGCTGAGAGCAAAGAGTGGACGAGAGAGACAAATTTCTACTTCTTAAGTTGCATTCTTACTTGGACATAATCAATTTCACCTGGGCTACATGTGGTAATACTAGTCTTGGTTTATTTTATTCCCCTTCTCATTTCTCAAGCTAGCAGATATTTCTAGTATAGTGTTCTTAGCTTACGTCTAATTGGAATTTTTGTTTTGTGAATTTAGTTGTAAAATCACTGTGTTTTCTGAACTCAAAAAAAAAAAAAAAAGGGAATCTCATGCATTAGAATAAATCCACAAATCCATGTTAGATGTTAAGGACCAATATTTAAGCAATGTTTTCGTTGGTTGCGAGATGCATAATTTTCTTTCCTCATCCTGTGCTGTATAATTTAGAAGAAGCATGATGTGATTCTAAACGCCAATTGTAAGTCCGCGTGACTCCTTTCCATTTCGCATGCTGTGTTGTTGGTTGAGTTTTTCTTTGATTCATTCCTTCTAAAAGTTGCTTGGGGTCAAGTAAGCTTTGAGACCGGTATTTTTTTCTAGATAACATCTGTCTTATATCTAATGCTTTCAGTATCCTTATATAGACATTCTATGTGTCTAACTTGTATATAACCAAACTTCTGCATTTTATATGGCATAATACTTGTAGTTGCTTTAACTGCAAAACTTCAATTTACTGTACTGAGTTTTTCCTTTTTATCTACCTAGCTATTTACTTCCAGTGGTTAATGGTATTGTGATGCCTTTTCTTTTTTACTTTAGTGCAAGTTTTGTTTGAGGGAAGGAACTATAACAATGATCCCTGGCCAAGGTCGACCGCTGACCCACAAAGACAGTGAAGCAGGAAGCTATGCACCTTTGATGCTATTGGACTGTAGGGGTCATGAGCCTGTGGGTTTTATATTCGGTGGTGGCTGGAAGGTTGAATCTGTAAGTCTTTGTTCTTCATCCTCCACCCTAGATGACCATTTTATCGGGTAGTGGAAATTGCGAACAAAGCTTTATTATAGCAAGGGCTTCAGACTGTAATATCTTGGTATATATTGATTTTCCAATTCTAGTCATAATAATAATAATCATTTATGAGCTGTTAAAATGATAACATATTCTTTGTTTTTGAAGACAAAAATAGCCAGAGTCTGATGTAAAAGATCAAGACTAATCACTATATAGAAGTCCCTGCTTAATATTATGCATATTATGATGTTTGAGATATTTCATTTGATGTATTTCCTAGTTGTGAAGTACCTAGTTTGAATTTTTCCCACCCATTTCAAAAAGTGTGTAATAACTTAGTAAGCACCTTGCACCTAAAGCTAAGGGCATTTAAACCATGTATTCAATCTTCAGTGGAATTGGATGGCAAGCCTTGCTAGAATTTACAGTTAACGCTGCACTTACATGTGAATTTGTTTATGTGAAGCTAGTAATTGCATAATATCCTGACCATGGTTAGGCACTGTTATTGTCTGATTTCTGGTAGTTACTGAAATATTCCCTCACCGTTGAGTTGTTGGGCGTTTACACAGTTACTTACTGCCATCTATATATTTGGTGAATGTGTTTTCATGTCAACTTACTGTAATTTGTTTGTGTAGCTGGAAGGGACTAAATTTGAAGATGTTGACTTGTCTGGAGACGACTTCGCTGAATATGATGAGAAGGGAGAGTGCCCAGTGATGATATCCAACCTTCGTGCTACTTTTGATGTGGTGAAGTAGAGTAGCACTACTCTCCTACTTGCACATGTCTTGGTAAATAAGACTGATGGTTCATCATGAGTGAGGTAGAAACCTGTAAATGGAAAACATTTCATGTAGGCATGAAGCTATATCCAAACGTGGTTTGTTGTGAATTGTTCAGTTTGTAGTATATGCTAATAGATACAATGGCAATGGTTCCACTAATTAATGAATCACATTATGTTTGTGCGTTTATTGTTTTCTTGATTTTTTGAATTATGAAGATAATTACACTGAATGCAAATAGCTTTCCCTTAAAGAAGTAAAGAAGTTCCCCATGTTTGAGAGTGGATTCTTTTTAGACCTGGGGAAGCTTCATGATTCTTGCTCTTCATGGCAAGAGCCTAGAATTGTTGGTGAGGCTGAAATGGGCCAACTTGGACTAGTGTCAAGAAACTTTTATCTGGCCTACTTTTTTTTTTTTTTCAGTTCACATTCGTATGTGGGAGCATACTAATTGTTCTTCCAGTACATGGGAATGTCTCGATACAGTTGGAGACGCAAGGCTGCTCCATAATTTGCTGGTGCTGTAGTGCATCGCATATATCAGGTATTGTGAGAGATTGCGTTTTTATTGGCAGGAAACGGATATTAGTACTTTTACTTTGGAAACAGATGCAACCGCCTTCTTACTACTGCGTTTCTTTATTTTTCTAGGAAAACATCGCCTGATCTGAATGAATTGGACATATTTGTTCCATTGGGAGTATCCGTAAGAACATTTGCGGGATGTTTGAGGAATTGTCCTTCACCTCGTTGGCAGCCAGCCTTCGTTGGAAACAGGATAACAACTAGAATCAACTTAGGTGGAAGCGGTCCGCACGTCTCATGCGTATGTTTGTGAGTAATCTTATAAATGTAGCTCTAGGTGGGTCCGGATCCGAGCTTTGGATGAAAATTCAACAAATTAGCTTTTGCCGTTAAATGTGTGAACCATGTAATGGGTGGTAAATGCTAATTCACTGTCCTTACTGTTAAGAATCAAAATTCGACTATTCTCTCCTTTATTTGCCATCTACAGAAGGAGTTTAAATTACCTAAAATAGATTATGTACCTTGAATCCAGAGGAATTTATTTCAGGGGAGTTTCAGATTTTTCATTTTTTGTTTTTGATAATCCCATTTTTGGAGGAAAAGAAATCCCAACGGCATTGCTCATGCCTAATATCAAATCCCACTTTCAGTGACGTGAGGGATTCGTACTTCTAGCTGAACTGCCTGGCCCCTCTATTTGGGTCACCATTAGCCCCAGAAGTTTGGTCATCAAGCCTCATTCTCCTGGTGCCTTGTTAACATCTTATATGTACAAAGAAGCCATTTTCTCTTTTAAAATTCCCATTATATCCCTGCATGTCAAGTAGTAAACTAGAACTCCATAGGACAAGACTGTCTTTTTAACTCAAGGCTGCCCAAAATCACAAGTGGGCATATCATTTTAAAATACTGTTCTTCACATGACAGCCAAGAAAAGGCATCTCCCCGACAAATGCAAACGCCAACTCGCGAGAGGTGTTAAAAAAAAAAAGGCGCACTCACTTCACACTCCCTGCCTTCCTTCCCTGTGTGAAGAAAGAGACATTGTAATTAACTTGCCACAGATTTCACAAATCACGCTCTTAGCACCACAAAATCCAGAAAAACATACTTATTGACTAACCAACTTCACCACATCTCTCACTCTTTGCCATCACCAAACTTCCTGTCCTCCTCTGCCTCACCTTCTTTATTGTTTTCCGATATTGACCTTAACAAATAGCCTGGGCGCAATCCAAGCACCTCAAATAGATTAGAAAACCTCTTTATCTCTATATCTTTCCGCACCCAAAAGTTTACATGGTACGTTCACTGTCTTCTACTTTTTTTTTCTTATTAACGAAGACTTCTGTCAGCCTAGTTCTGGACTTTGATCTTGGGTTAGATTCTAGATAGAACACTGTTTATCCAATACCCTTTTCCTTTAAACTCTTGATTTTCACGTTATAATAGTTTATAGTGATTTTTTTTTTGGTCAGATGGTATAATTTGTAAAACTCTGGATCTGTTGTTCTATTGTTGTTTCTATTGCTAAGAGGGGCTGTACTTTCTAAAGTTAGTTAGCTGTTAAAAAACCCCCAGGTATTGCAATTTATTTCACTGAAATAATCGGTTGGGATCTAAGATGCGAGAGATTTTAGTTTGCTTTTGAGTTGGGAAAACAAAGAAAGGGGCGGTTTCTGGATCTGACCCCAGAAGTTGAATTCTGGTTTTTGAATCTTCTTAAACGATGCAAACAAGAGTTGGGTCGGCTGGGTCATTGGAGGAAGGCAAGGATCCCGTGGTTACTACTAGAACAAGTCAATCTAAGACTTTGCCACTAAGGTTACTTCAGTTATTTGGGTTTTTTCTTGCTCTCTGTATCGCCTTTTCGATCGTTAGTATATATACAATCCGGCGTTTTGGAATTTATAGTGTGGTCACTACAGTTAAGTCTAATTTTGTGCCGTGTGTTGAAGAACCAAATAGTTTGAATCGCTGGATAAAGCCACCATCGAATTTGCTTCACACGATGAATGATAAAGAGTTGTTATGGAGGGCATCTTTCGTGCCTCGAATAAAGAAGTATCCATTTAATAGACTTCCGAAGATTGCGTTTATGTTCTTGACTAAGGGGCCATTGCCGCTTTCTCCTCTTTGGGAGAGGTTCTTGAAGGGGCATGAAGGGCTTTATTCCATCTATATTCATTCATTGCCATCATACAATGCCGAGTTTCCTCCTTCATCAGTTTTTCACGGGAGGCAAATCCCAAGTCAGGTATGGTCCTCATAATGTCCATTTCTTTTATAGGAGTTTTCATTTGTTTCTGAATTCTGTATTATTTTTAATCGTCTTTGTTCTTTGTCATGTTATGAACCCTTCCATCCTTATTCCTCTGTAATGCAGTTTGTGTGTTCTTTTACATGCTTGTGCACATCATGATAAGTTACTGCCCTTGATAATGCTAATTCCGTTTAGAACCTTTCTTATGTAGCTTCTATGCTAAGTAGGTCTCCTGAGAATCTTTGTCCATAAGAGTGATAGTAGCATGCTTGTTATCTAGGCATTTCATAACTGTTGCAGAAGTTAGCATGCTAACTTAAGGTACATTTGGAAATTTGGTTTTTGGTGGTTAGACTTAGAACTGCTAGCATTCATGGCCTCTCATTCCCTTTTTTTTTTTTTCAATAATGGGATGTCCCTCTCCTTATTTATCTATTTAAGTTCAAGTTTTCATTGGTTCTTGGTTAGCTGGATAGATGGTGATCTGCCTGACCTTCATAACCTCTTTGCCTGTGGAAAGGTTTTCTCGTGTGCAATACGTTATAGGCATTCCAAGAGTTCCTTGCAAACACTCAAACTTATGGTCACAAATAGACAAATAATATATCACTTTGATAAACAAAAATAAAAAATGGCATGAGATGTATTTGAGTGTTCAAACTTTGTGTCCTTGGCTTCAATTTTTTAGATCACCTAACCTGCATGGAAGCTTGCAATTTGAAATCTGTCTATTTCTACTGTCTGGATTTATCTTGTGCTTCAAACCACAGCACTGGTTTAAGACCGTCATATTAGCACGCTATATCAGTGATGCTTGTTGAAACGGGAGACAAATTTGATTTTGAACTAATCATGCAGAGTAACATCAGGGTGACAGAGAAACTTTATGATTTAGACTTTAGAGACCTTTCAAGAAGTGAGTGTGGGGAATAGGAACTTATAGTGAGCTTAACATTTGCTTTGGAACAAATAGCTGTATTGTTTTGGCTAACTTGTAGGAGATGGCAAATTATTGTGATTGATTTGCGCGAAGAGATTTCACTAGATTTATGGTTGTCTTTCTAGTCCTGGTGTTAAGTCGAATATTGTGTGTGCAAGAGATCTGCTTTTGTTTGGGTCCCCGTGGGAAGATAAAAGAATCTGATAGTAACATGTAAATTGTCAGCTGTTGTATTTGAAGGTTAAGGGGTAAATGTCTTCTACCCAGTATCTGCCATCTCTATATCAGCTCTTGTAGTGTTTTACTGAATTTCTTTCTTTCAGTTACACCAAAGTACCCTACTGTGGTTGCTAATTTTTTTACTTCCCATCAGTCATGATTTATGGTAATTGTTTGGCATTTGTTCTTCAACAGTTCAAATAGACTTTTGTTATTTAAATGAGCAGCCTGTATTTCTTCTCTTTTAGGGATTGGGTTCCTGATTTCTGTATTTGCTTTTATGCAGGTCTCTGAGTGGGGAAGGATGAGTATGTGTGATGCTGAGAGAAGACTCCTTGCCAATGCCTTGCTTGACATATCCAATGAATGGTTTATCCTCCTCTCTGAATCTTGCATACCTCTATACAATTTCAGTGTCATCTACCACTACATAAAGAAATCCAAATATAGTTTCATTGGTGCATTTGATGACCCTGGGCCATATGGTAGAGGACGTTACAATGAGAACATGGCTCCTGAAGTGAATATCACCCAGTGGCGTAAGGGGTCCCAATGGTTTGAAATTAACCGAAAGCTTGCACTCAACATCGTGGAAGATAGTACATATTACCCGAAGTTTGAACAGTTCTGTCGACCAGCATGTTATGTTGATGAGCATTATTTCCCCACCATGTTAACAATCCAGGCCCTAAATCTCTTAGCAAATAGAAGCATCACATGGGTAGACTGGTCGAGAGGTGGGGCTCATCCTGCTACATTTGGTAGAGCAGACATTACAGAAGAGTTGTTCAAGAGAATTTTCGAAGGTCATCAGTGCAGGTACAACGATCAGCCATCTTCGGTCTGTTTTCTTTTTGCCAGAAAATTTGCACCAAGCGCTTTGGAGCCTTTGTTACAGATAGCACCAAAGATTTTTGGCTTCGGACTTCCTGGGTGATGAATGAACACAAACCTTGCCAGTGCCAGATTTAGATCCTGAAACAAAATTTGAAGTGGAGATGAGTCCATGAGAGACTATGGGAGCATGCCAGGTCCATTCTTTGATCTCATACATAAATGGGTCCTCTATTTCCTTTCTTTCTTTTATAAAATTTAACCCTCTTCGGCGATATGATGTGGTTTTCTTACTTTGTACACTCTCCTAATTCTTTGGCACTCCCAACCCCAAAAACCACTCTGTATGTACAGAAAATTCACATTTTTGTATTGAGGTTTACAATACTATTGTATCAGGATATTTAGATAGTACCAGTGTTTTTGTTTTGTGCAATTTGCAATACACCCCCTCCCTCTCAATAGTTTTGGCCAATGAGTTTGAGCTTTGAAGTTTAAAAGAGCAATAAGAGTATCATATAAAAGCTTTAGGTATTTGGTTCTGATTGGTGAGGGAAGAGTGACATAATAATGTTAAAAGAACATTTTCTTGCTAAAGATAAAAAGAGTAACTAAACAAAAATGAGGTGGCACTTGTTTGTCTTTTAGGCTAAAAGTAAGCCATCTTAATCTTTGCTACTTAAGAGTCGTTGCTTTGTCATTTTTATTAAAAGGAAAAAACGAATGAGAATCCCATTACTTCGTTGTTTTTGGTAGAAAAATCCCAATAATAGCTTATATCAAACGCAAATAGCTCCAACCCACACCCACACCCCCACCCCCAAAGAAAATTACCGCAAATTTAAAGCCAAAAACGTTAGATATGAGCTTAAATGATTTCCTTAATTAATTTAGAGCGACACAAGGCAAAAGTAGACCTTTAAACAAGTCACACTTGTTGGTCATTCAAAATCGTGTGCGCCATTTGACACCATTCAAGGGGAAGCTTCTGGAATTCATACACCTGTCTTTCATTCTTCGCTTTGAATTTCAAAATCAAAAAACCCTGTTCCTTTTGGGCCCTCCACGTGTTCTCCCCCGGTTTGTCCAACCTGCGTCTCTACCATGCGATGTTTTGTGGGACCGACGTTGCACCCGCATCTTTTCAGTTGTTTCGCGACGGAATCAGCGTGATTACTTCCTCAATTGCGGCTGCCCATCACGCCTTCCCTCTCGTCTGATCTCCTCCGTTTTAACTTCGCTGCGAATGTCTCATGCGCGTGTTCGCACGGGTGAAGACTGAACCTCGATCTTAACCCGGCCTAATTAGATAGCCACTGGATGCGCGAGTAGATAAAGCTCTTTAGCCCAGCGGTCCCACTACTCCCTTGATTTGGCAAAGAATCAATTTCTATTCCGACCGAAGAACAAACAAAGATCCGCAACCAACAATCATCACCAGCGTTAAAACGACCGCGTTTTCCATCGCACGACTTGTCATTATCAAAAAAGACTGGGGGTAACGAAAAATTTACACGCGTAAAATAAAATTAAGGAAGCCCTTTGAAACGGGGACCCGCTGGGGTACCAGCTGTAGCAATTGCAATCTCCAGGCTGGATATCCGGGCAGCTGCCCGATGTCTCTCTCGTTCTCTCTCTCTATATATAGACCCCGCCTAACCCACTACCCCAAAACCCTCAACGCATTTCCTCACTCTCTAAAGGAAAAACAAGAACGGTCTTTTTAACGCTTAAGAATTCCAACAATGGCTCTCTCCAAGGCTTCTCTGACGCTTGTTCTCGTAGCTGTTTGTGCTCTCATGGCTTCGGCTTTGGCTGCTGATGCCCCAGCTCCAAGCCCCACCTCGGGCGCTGGCTTGATCTCTCCCTCATTGGTCTCCGTTTTCGTCACCGCCGCTATGGCTCTCCTTTTCTGCTCTACTCTCAGGATCTGAAGATTTGTCACCTCTGGCGGTGGCGTCTCCTTGGATTGATGGCTATGGATGGTGTAGAGAGGGTGCTGGGCTTTTCATTTTTATTTATTATTTTTTTTGTGTTTTAAATTTGGTTTGGAATTTTAGTAGTAGTGGATCTAGGGAGTGAGTAGATATATATATATATTTGAGAGAGTGAGACAGGGAGAGGTAGCTATGTTATGTGTTTGCACAGATGATTGATGTTGATGTTTGGACTTAATTATTTCAGTACCATTTCTTATGGATTTATATTATTTTTATTAGTATAATGGGAGATCTTTTATTTTTTATGTACACTCCATTTGTTTCTTAATTTTTCCTGTTCAGTGTTTTCTTACGATTTCTCTGCAGCCAAACAATAGCCAGCATATTCTCTGCAATTATTTATACATACATTGGAATTTTCTGGTTCAACTGTTAGGTCTTGCTTTGCTCTGAAGTTTTGCTCAGACTGTAAAGACAAATTTACCCTTCAATAGTCCACACTCTTAACTGTACCAGTATCTGTAAAGCAAAATTTTTGCAGTAATGCTGGACACCACTCGCTACCATGTGACATGCAAAGTACCCTTCTGTTCTCTTCACATAATCGAATGGCAGAATAGGGTCCCTCAAAAAGCTTTTAAAAAAAATGGTGGGCACGAAGAAAAGTTCAAAAAACTTTGCTTTGAAGTTAGCCTTGGCAGCAGCTCTCTTTTCCTTTTCCTTTCTTCTTTTCTCCTTTTGTGGGTTCCAACTCCCAATTGTGGAAGTTGTGCTGCGTGGGCGCGCACTTGCACAGGTTGCCAGTTCCTAGTGTCTTCACAACTAATGATTCCATGTTCAATGTTCTTTAAAAATTATTAGTGGTTTTAACATGTTGAATTTTCCTTTGTTTTCAAGAATATGCTTTATTACAAAAAAAGGGGTCTGAATACGAAACTAATAAGAGCACATGTTGGTGGGTCTTGTTGAGTTTATGGCACAGATCAATAATTCATTAGTGGTTAATTGAAATTGTTTTTGAAGTCAATGATAAATGATTAATCCCACACGGTTCCTTTTATTGCAATTTGGGAATCTGGAGCATTAGTCTTATTCTCCACTGAGAAACTGAAAATGCCCTCTTCTTTCAGTTTTTCACCAATCCTGTGGGCCGGTTTCTTCCATTTTAAGTTACTTTAATTCCAATCAACTAATCATCTATTGAATTGAATGTGAGTTATGAAGTTAAATTTTCAAAGAAAACTTGGTCATATGAGTTAGATGTCAGCTTCTAGTATGGGCAGCCTACAACGGCTTGTCCTGCCTGTATTTTTTTTATTTATTTATATTTTCTACGAAGACACGGGTCAAGATCCCATCAATACTCTTCAATAAATGGGCAGGACCTTGGGCACTTAGAAGTTAGAAGTCCGTGTGTGGTTGAGAATGTCGATGTCGTGGGGAAAATCTTTCGCTGTTGAGTCATTGATTGCTAGCGGGTTCTATACACTCTACTAAAAAAATTACTGGCAAGACAAGTATGTTGCATCTTTATATTTTCTGATTATATATATATATATATCTAAATTATTTAAGTTTTATAGATAAAGGAGATATATATAAGCTTAATTTTAATCTTATTCGTTTTAGCTTTTTTTTTTTTGAAAGTTATAAGAGGAATTCCATTAAGAAGGAAAGGAAAAAGATGTTTTCCCCCTACCCAAGTACAAAAGTGAGCCTCAGACAAAATAATCCATAATATTGGTTGGTATACTCACGCTATCCAGATCAGTATACCCTCTCAATATCACGCCCTTAGGAACAAGTTTCATCCTGAAAAGATAAGAAAAGGTATAGACCAAAAGAACCTGTGATTCCTATCTATTCCCAGAGCCAAACCCAAACAAAACATTTACATCCATATACAACAATTCACCCCCAAACAGAAACAGCCCATTCGTTCTAACAAATTAATACTATTATAATATAATTTTAATAAGATAATGTAATTTAATTAGACAGTAATATTGTATAATAATTTTAATATAAATATGTTGTATTTATCTTAACATTTCATGTGATAAGATATTATTCCAAAACCGCAAAATTAATAAAGAAACATGTGAGGGATGCAAGATTAGATGTTCTCTTTTGATTGGGCCAGCAGATATGAACATGCTTGTAATAGCGTTTTCCAGATCAATTCATTTGCTTAATCAGTTAAAACAATGACGCCGTTGGCGTACAAGCTTGGAAGAACCCAAGGATCTGAAACTCGCAAGTAAACCAAAGTCGTCAAGTTTTCACCAAATGAAGGAAATCCGGGGTGTTCACACACCGTAAACTCCTCGCAAGGAATTTCACTTTTGATTCAAGTCTCTTTTTACTTTACGGAAGTCACGTGAACTCTACAGTTTCGGCCTTTTCGGGCTAAGCATTGAGTCCTAGGCATAGACGCCCCAGTCACCAGAGAGTGGAAAACACGGTGAATTTTTCCATTCATTGCTAGAAAATTCCATGACAAGCAGCTGTGCGGTGGACTGGCGTCAGTTACTGAGAAAATTGTTTTTACTCAAAAGGTTGTATAATGGGTCAGGAAAACCTGTAGGCAACATTTATTCCAGTCAATTGAGAAAATTTAGACTGGATTTTATTTATGCTTTTACTATTTGATTTTCATTTTTCATTATTTATATATTTTATAAAAGAATAATAAAAATATTAACACCCAAAAGTAAAAGGTTGAACTAAATACCAAAAATTTGGGCATAATTTAATTCTTTCATTATCCCATAGACCAAAGGTCACCATTAACACAGTTTACACCCTTTCTGTCATCGTCAAAAGTAAAAGACCAAGGTCTTCTGCCCATCAACATCTCATCATCATCATTCCATATTGCAATACAAAAACCAACCCTGGGCTGCTCTCTATTCAGAATCAGATTCCATATTACCCATTGCCTTCAAACCTCTTGGTCTCTGCGCAAGGATTCACATCAAAACGATTTCAGCTTCAAATATGTATTAGTTATATCTAGGAATGAGAGAAAAATCAATAAAACAGATGAATGATTTGACACTGTACTGGGACGGCACCTTCTTTGAGATCTTCTTCTCTCTGACCTCATATCGCTCAAGGGTTAAATCGCATAGCCATGCCCCCGGGCTCACCAGCTGTACCACAAATTTCCCGAATTAGCTTTGTTAATCCTCCGATTCACGAAGCTTCCAAACGTTGAAATAAATAATGTGAGCAACAAGAAGGAAAACAAAAGAAAAGAATAATAATCATTATCACTTTTGTGTTCTTTTGGGAAGAGAATCATCCCAACCACCACCTTAACAGTAACCCTACAATCACAGCTTATTTGCAGAAATGCCCCCCCGACAATGATGGGTCGGGCCGAGCCAAGGGCTCTCTGCCCCTTTTTTGTCGGTTGCTCGTCATTTACCAAATCATTTCATCAAGAAACTATTTTTTGAATTACACGAGTACGGCGGTGGGACCCACTGATTATGTCTCTCTGAAGACATTCGTCATCGGGCTGCCCACTTTTTGGGAAAACATTTATCCTTTAACGTAGTGAATAAATTCCTATAAGTAGATGAAAATAAAATATCTTAAATAATACTTTGTAATATTTCACAAGTTTTTCAGAACAAATGGGAGATAACAAAAAGATATAAAAGCTGTCCAGTTGAAATATTTAATGAGACGACATTAAATTCACTAGAGTTGTACTTATTTTAAAGCCCTTTCTCTGGAAAAGAAGAATAAAAACAATTAAGAAACTATGCACAAGAATGTAGTTTCTTTCTTTTATTAGTTATTATTTGATATACCAAGAAATATATATATATATATATATATGTATATCCTGGATGGTCGGCTTGCGTTACGCATTACAGCGTAGCAATAGCAGTACACAGACAAGGCATAACGCACAACATTATCTAAACAAATAAAATTAGGGACTGGATCACAGCCTCACAATCACAGGCTTTCCAGTGGGCCGTTAACAAATTTAGGTACTTTAATTGGGTGCTCCTCCACATTTTGGCTGACACGTAGACTTCTACGTATCTCTTACTGTCGCTTTGCCCACTTCCATTGGCCTATTCTATTTTTTTACCCTTTTTTTTTTTTAACTAGCAAAGTGGGCATAAAATAGAGAAAGCAAACGAAAATCATTATTTCACGTAACTCACAAGTGTCCTCCTGCTGTACAATGTTGTACCTCATCTATTAATTTCCTATACAAATGCTAGTAAATTAATTTCGCTTTCAAATCAAAGTCTGCTATAATGCGTAAAATTTAATTCGCCCCCAATTTTAAAATTTCGAAATTACGTGCAAACGAAAACGATATTCAAATGAAATAAGGAATCACTCAAGGAAAGAGTAAGGGGGATGCTTACATTGAGGGTACGTTGGATGAACTTGGCTCGCTTTTTGGGTCTTTGTGGTAGCTTAGATCCTTTAATGGCCAGGAAATCCTCTTCTTTCTCTTTATTCGTTAAAGCAATCACGAATTTCGGTGGCCAAACGGGCGGAACTGCCTCACCGCTCCCGGAAGACGAGCCTCCTTTTTTGCTATCGTGAGCCGTCTCCGAAGATGCCGCTGATTTGTTGTTGTGCTGGTGGTTGTTATCATTGTTGCTGTAGTGGTTGTTATTGTTATGGTTACCACCTCTCTTATCGCGCGCACCCCTGTCCGGCGAAGATAATCCCCTTACACCACCGTTGCTTTGGCCTCTCATAGCACTGGGATTCTCAGAGTTCCTGGAAGATTTCCAAAGAAAAAAAAAATTCAAATCGCAATAATAAGAATACCAGGGACAAATATCTTGAAAAGAATATGGTAAAATAATTAAAATAATTGGAGAAAGTATCCAGTGGTGTTAGTTTTGGGAAAGTAAAAAGGGGTAAGTTGTAAACGTAGAATTACCAAAATAACCTTAAAATGATCTAGAGCACTGGGTGAAAGAGAGTGGATAGAATCTGGACAAGTTTTGCGTAGAAAATGGGGGATGGATTTGTTTTTGGCTTTCTTAGGGGAGGGCTGGACTTTGGGGTTGGCTTTTAAATAGGGAGTGGTTAATTTCTTCCTTTATTTCTTTTGATGAAAAGCTTTAGATATTTGAGAGAAGAGAGGAAGAGTGATTCTATCTCTATCGAAGGAGCACAGCTGGTTTTTTAAGACGGTTTAAGGCCGTCGGATTTTTAAGGCTTTTTTGCCTTTCTGGTGGATTAAGGTAACGTGTTAAAATATGGCTTGGTATGGGAAACAAAAGAGGACCAGATTCCTAAATCCAATTTTCTGATCGGACGGCTGAACAGGCCTGAGATCAAAATAGACTTTTCGTGGACACGTGGTGAGGTAACTGTCCATTCCATGTTTCCAAGGGAGTCCATGGGGTTATGGCGAAAGCGCTAGGCATTCCGGATCAGAACACCTGGGTCTAGGATCAGGTGTAGTAAGGTGCAGTGTATAGTACATATAAAATGTAAAAACAGATGCAATGCCATTAAAAACAATACTATTATTAACATTAAAATAAAAATAATAGCAAATATTAATAGCCTGTTGCAATCAGATACTATCAAAATACTAGTGACAGCAATTATCAAATAAAACCAAAAGATCAAGCACTGACTTTAACTAGGACAAGAGATGAAAGAAAATCTCAGCAAGCTTACATGATAAAAGTCATCAACATAGTATATTGAATTGAAACTTGTTTCCATCGAAGATGGGAGGGTTATGTCCAGGAAGAGGGATAATTTATTATTTAGGCCAAAAAAGGAATGCAATCAAACAGGAAAAAATCCCAAAAAAGATGATCTCAATGTATCATTCATCTTCGCAAGAAAAAGAATCACTATTAAGAATAATTTTCCCAATTATGTGGTTATTGAAACACATAACCTGCACACGATGAAGTAAATACGTCAAAAGAAAAGAACTTAATATATCGATTCAACCAGAACCTCCTTGAAGCACAACCTTGTTCGAGATTATTGTTAGACTATATTGATCATGCTAAAACATTAGATATGCAAATTGTGCAAGTCATTAAGATTCCTCATGTAAAAGCAAAAACTTGCTCCTAGAGTTTTTTCTTATGTCTATTTAAAGGAAATAATCACTGAATTAGCATGAACAACCTGCTTTCAGTCAGAGGTAAGACCCTAACAAAGAAGGCGCCTTGATAAACTCACCAAGAGTTTCTCCTGAACCATACACTGGCGCCCACCTGACCCATTGGAGAGTGCACAAATATAAGCCTCACAAAAATAAATTCAGCCCTGATGCATCATAAAATTTTGAAAAAGCTAAAAACTCTTCTGACGGTTCCGGATCCGACCAACCTTTACAGCACTAAACATAGCAAATTCGAGGCTGAAATGTTATTTATTTATATATGAGACCCATACAATGCCATCACCAACTAGTCAAAAGGCCCATATGGAAATACCCATCCAAATGTGTGTAGGTTTTAGGAGTGTCAATGGCGCCAATTGTGCAGCTTATCCATTCCTGGAACAGCCCTTTCCACTACCAGAAAAAAAAAAAAGAAAAGAGAAAGGACTATTGTCAATCAAACAAGTCAATAAACATATTGTCACCAGTGAACAAGATTGAGCATTTATGCCTCACAAAATTTGAGGATCTTTCTGCGAAGATTGCGAAGGCTGTCCTCTAGACCAAGTGGATGCCAAATTCTATTGCCGCTAAAAGTAAAACTATGAAAACGAGAAAAAAAATCATTCAAAATCAAAATATAATTGCAACAACACAAATTTCTTCAGAAGATGATTACCAATACTTTCATCACAGCATGCAATAAATACATTAATTTTTCTTTTACTTTTCACTTTCCATTATATGTGAAAACCAGAAATTTTATGACCCTGTGCGACTGGGAAAATAATGACCTCAGAAAACTTAAACTCATTAAACGTTATGTATGGAATAGTCAAATAGGCTAATCCAGCGGTAATTTCTGCTATTTTTAGAGGAGAAAAACAAAAGAAAAGGTACGAGTATTTCAGACATATAACACGGTGGGACCCAGAAATGATGGATCTAAGTTTCATGATCATCTTACTCGAGCTCAACACCCAGACGAAAGGTGAATAAATAAACTTGTGGAGTACTAAATGAGTAAATATACACTATACCGTACCTGAGAACGCGCTGAGGTGGAGGAGCTTGAGGAGAAGCAGGCCGTTGACGGAGGTTAAAATATCCATTCCCGTGATTATTATTGCTTGGCTGATTTGAAGAGTCTTTATCCGCCCTCACGACCCGGCGATCGACTCGAACCGTGGTTCGATGAACCGGGCCGGACTGATCGTCTTTGACCTGGATCTTCATACACCTGAGGCGCTTCCGGTTTCCCCACTGCAAAACAAAATCAGACGACGACGGCGTTTGCTTCGCCGTATCTGAGCTGGATCTTAACAATCCCCCGTCGCCTCCGGTTCTGTCTCTGCTGTGGTTGGTGTTATTACCATTATTGTTGGTCCTTAATGAGTCCTTTTCCATCCTTCTCCGCACACCTGTCCCATCATAAGAGTAAAAAATTGAAAATTAAAAATACGATTCGGGTTAAGCTTTCAATTAGTAGTGGGTTCAACTTCAGAATTAAAGTGGAAGCGCCGAAAGGATAAGGAAAGGAAGAGATTAGGAGGATTTAGCTGTGGCTTCGCCTTCTCTTAAAACTTCCACGCAATTTCAAACAAAAGTTGTCTCAGTCAGCTTATCATCAGTGCATCCGACGGTTAGGAATTTCCGCAGAAACTTTGAAAAGAAAAATATAAAAATCCGAGGGAAAGAAAGCGGCTTAAGCCTGAAGAAAAGTTGAAGATGGGAAGAAAAAGGCAAGCATCGAACGGTCTCTGCATCTTCGAGTAAAGAAAAAGGATTAGCCGAATGTCAGCACTGAAATTGAGCGATTTTTATAAGATAATCAAATGGATTAACGAGAGAAAACAGAGATGATGAGAATTTTAGGTGGGATTGAGAAAATTCAGACAAGAATAGCCGCACTAATTTGAAAAATAGTTAAGTTAGAAAAGGAACACAGTTGAAACTTGAAAAGAAACAGACCATGGGAAGATGTCTTTGGTCGTAGTTTACAATGCAAGGAACAGAGATAATGATAGATTCGAAAATAGAGAGAGAGAGAACCAATCACTCCATTACAAGTTTCGAGGTTTTTTTCTCTCTTGGTTTCCCTGTAACCAAACGGAAGTCATTGGATAAGCAGAAACGGGAAGATAAGGAAGAAAAAAAAAAAGACAGACACGGAAAGAAAATTCAACAAAATCCGGAAAAACATCACAGAAAACGATTCTCAGTGGGGATTTAAGGAAGCGAAAATTAAAGACAGACAGAATAAAGCGAAATCAAAACAAAGATACAATCGGAAGGAAAAATCTTAGCGGAAAAGGTCAAGTTCTTCTTTAAACGGTTCGAGAAAAGCCATTGAATGAAGGATTAGAAAGGAACTTGTGACTAAAATCCTTAGAGAAAAAAAAACACTACCAAAATGAAATAAAACTATGAAAATACAGACTCCTAATGCTCTCCAGAGAAATAGAGTGAAAGTCCCTTGCGAAAGAAAATCAACATTCTCAAAAAAATGCGACTCTGTTAAAGAAATCTTTGGTTCTCAATCAAATCCAACTAGAGAAAACCGATTACTAAAACACTTAGCGTGGTCCAAAAAATCAAAAGAAAGAACAAGACGCTGGGGAGAAGAAAAATATAGCGTTGTTTTAACAAAAAGCTCGGTGTATCAATGGCGAGTCAAAATCTTTAGGTAGATTTAAAATCAGTACTCAGATAGTCAGATTTCTGATCTCATCGTGAGATAATAGCTCTCATACCTGAATTACTCAGGCTCTGCCTTTCCAACTAATTCACCAAAAGCTTTGCTTCTTTTAGTCCTTTTGGTCGAAACACAAATCTACTCTGGATTTTCAACCAAATATTGACATTTGAAGCCTGTTCTTTCGACTCTCATGATGTAAGATTCTAATCTTTTGATATGTCAGCAATTGATCTGCCTATTTGCAGATATATTCAGTCCAAATTTCTTCACAAAGTAGCTCCGGTCTCTTTGGAATGTATCTGTCAAACCAAAAATTCCAACAGAAACAAAATCATTTCCAAAGAACGAATCAAACACAGTCGTTGTTGCAAATCTCCAGAACTTTAACTTCGTATACCTTATCTTGTTACAGATTCTCAAATTTCCAACAAAACATAAGCAATCTTCACGATCAGGTAATAGAACCAGCAAAAAACTTTCCTCCAATCTCTCCAAATGTATCTGCAGAAACCAAGAAAAAGAAAATGGAGCATGAATAATTAACAGTTTCCTATTGAAAATAGACAAAGAAAATTCATTATAGTAAATGAAAATATAATCAATCTCTGCTCTCAATAACACACCTAACAATTCTCAGATTCTTCTCCCTCTCTGTCTCCCTCGCTTGGTTTAGAATTTAGATCCTCAACGTTTATTTATCAAATTATCATCAGTTTTTAGCTTTTCCTCGGGAATTCTCTGTTAGATTCTCGAGAAAGAAGAAGAAAGTAGAAGCAAAATAGCAGACAACAGGAAGAAAATGAAAAACAAAGAAAGAGTAACAGGGAGGCTGTTTCTTCTTCTGATAAAACGAAATGCTCTCTCTCCCTTTCAAAACTAATTTTATACCTCCTCTCACCCTTCGTTACACAACCAAGGTTAAACACCGAGAATTATTAACCGCTGATCATTAATCCAACGTCTCCTATCGCCTTCTCTTCCGAACCGTGAACTCCGTCTATGTGCACTCCCCGTTACGGGATTTTCATGTGCCTTACCACCGTTATTATAACTCACGGCGTGAATAGATCTAGCGGAATCTTTAAACCACGCTGAAATTAAAAAAAAAAAAACTATTCTAAAATTAAAAAATATTGTGTATTTTTTATTATTCATGTTTTATTAATTTTGTTTTGTTTTAATTGTTCTCGCCCACTGGGTGAGGTGGTGCTGAGCGCAACAAGTTAACTATTGTTGGTTAGAAACTCTGGTGAACTAACCATGGTTAAGTTCGACCGGTTTCCCGAATCTCATATTGTAGGACATTTTGGTAATTCTTGGCTGACTTTGGATTAAAGGGTAATTGGCCTTTTCCAACTTCACTTGTCATTATATATATATATAATACATAGATATCTCTATATCTATATACACAGTCAAGTTTATCAAAATGTCTTGAGACAGTTCAAGGAAATTAAATCCTCTGTTCCAAAAACATAAATTTTGTTTTAGTATTTTTAAATTATTTTTTCATTTTGTTGACATTGATAATTTAAGATTGTCAATACCATTGAAAACATTTAATTTATAATTTTTTCATTAATTCTCATAACATCCCAAACAAAAAATAGTATGATAAAGAAATGTTTAAATGTCAAATTATAAGTGAATAAACAATAATTCAAAATAGCACTATAATATTTGATTTATTGATTGGTGTATGATCTTGTAGAATTTAATTTTTTTAATTAAAAAATAAAATTTAAAATTAATTAAAAAATTATTTTAAATTTTTAATCAAATAATACTTTTTTATAAATTTTTTGAAAAAAAAAATCACTTGACCAATGTCAATAACCACTGTTTGCATTTTAAACATGTGGAATCACAGGACAAGAGTCTTAAATATATACATAAATAAAATTTTCATTGATGTAAAATGATGATGTGAAGCAAGACATACCTTGCAATGCCATGCCATGTCACTCATCAACAAATACAAGTAGCCATATATATATTCCTTCTTCTTCTATCTAGTTTCACTTTTTGTTGAAATAACCATTAATAGTATGATAATTGAAGTTGTTGACAATGTTCCTAATTTCATATGTATATGGTCACATAGATAAATCATGCAAAATTTAAAATACAAGGCTCTCAACAAGACGAGTAAAGATATTATATGTATGCATTTTGATATGGAATTGAAGCAATTTATGTATTTCAAATTTTATGTAAATAAATAAATACGAAAGACTAAAAATTAAGAGAAAATTGATCAAAAATTTATGTGGACTATGCATAAGGACAAAGAAAACTACTTTATAGATGTTGTTTGGATAAACTTTAATAGGAAGAAAGAAAAAATTATTGAGCTTCCTATTAATCCAAGTGGCAAAAAAATACTTGACAAAATTAACTTTAATATATATCATTATCTTTAATGAGACCAAATTAAACTAAGATTGAATCGGATAAGATGCCTTTAGGAAAAGCTATTTATGATTGTATTTGTTCGTTTTGGGATTTGGTGAATCATGTGATCGATCAATATGTATAACATAAAATGTCCCTTCCTAAGGAAATTCTAATGCTCGGAGTCCATCGGGGGCACAAGCGGCCATGTAGTATCGTTTGAACATGTCAAGTCTATGAACAATATTCTCATAATTAACCAACATAACAAATTATATTTATTTAATTTTCTTATTATTAATATAAAATGTTAATAGGAAATATGGGATTATTTATTTATGCTCTATATAACATTTACAAAATATCGTTAAACAATTTTTTATAAAAAAAAATCTTTAATCTATTCCAAACAATTGAGTTACAAAATAATATGGTATGCAATAATGCATTAATCAAAATAAAAATATACCACGTGCTTCTTTTTCTTTTTTCTTTTTTCTTTTTTTGAAGAATTACTAGTTGTCAAAGACGTGGAAAATAAAAAATTGGCTCCACACCCCAAAGCTAATAGGGTTGTTTCGACGGATCAGGGTCCGGACCCCAGCATTGCAGAGCTCGCCATGCGCGCCAGTCCTGGCTAAGCCCTGAATCACGATTAAGACAGAATTAACCATCACATTTAGGAGGGTTGGGGATTGGGCGTGGAGGCTTTTTTTTGTCCACAATCCAGATATAATTATTTTCTCCTCCTTTTTTTAACGTTTAATAGAGCGAGCAATTGCCTCTTGCGTTCTTCCCTGTCACGTCAAAAGTTGGTTACACGAAAAGAACAAGGTGAAGGAAATTCCCGGTTCTCTCAAAATAGAAACAAGCAGGCAAGTTGCGTTTTATTTTCTTGAAAAAAATTTCAGTCTCCTGAATTTCTATGAAGCGAAATGTGAATTTTCAGTTCTTAGTGATACTGTAATTTTATTTTATCTTCAGCTCTGTTTTTTTTTTTTTGAAAAATAGTGTTTTTTTATATATAGAACTGAAGCACTATTGGTTTTTTTCCCCTTCAAGTTGGTGAATTTCGATCTGTATGATTCGAAAGTATGGACCAGCGAGCGAGAAAGCAAGAAATGAATTACGGAATAGGATTACGAACCCCACGAGGGTCTGGGACAAGTGGGTACATCCAGACCAACAAGTTCTCTGTCTAGCCAAAGCCGGCCCGGATGGCTGAAAATGCCAGCGGATTGGGGGCGGATCAGGGTACAATCAGCTGGAAGCCCGATGAGGATTTGATTGAGCATGATCGCAAACGTCAGATTGAGGTGAAGCTCGTGATGCTTGAAGACGAGCTTGTTGATCAAGCTTAGCCTCGCTGTGAAGTTGGAGGAGGCCAGGAAGGCTCTGGAAGCCAAGGAAAATGGCGAATAGGAAGTTTTGAACAACAGGCTTCAGTTGGTTACTCGGGGTTTTTAGATGTAGAGATGACTGATGAGAGAAAAGAAAACTGATGGAAGCATTTAGATGTATGTACTTGTTATTTTATGACGCACCGTAACCCCACCATTTTTTGACTTTGGTGAGGGGTCCGTGCGTTCGCTTGGTGTGGAGCTCTCGGGTGTAAATCGAAACAAAGAAAGAGAGAGAGGAGAGGGTTACCTTTGGAGGGCTCGGATCTCTCTCCGGTGAGGGAGGTGATTCTCACAGCCTGCGGATCCTTGCACGGCGTGTTGAGGCGAGCTTGGAGAGCCCGGTCTTGGGCAGTGGTGTTGCCGGACGGCGGGATTCCGGCGACCGAAACTTGGAGAGCTCGGTTTCACCGATCCGGGAGGTATTTCAAGCGACGGTTGGCGCGGAGAGCACCGCAAGGAGGAGGCTAACGCATCAGTTCTGGTCGCGTTGGTTTTGGTCGAGTTTGACCGAAAACCAGTTCCCGGAGAAGACGACCGGTGACCGGATTCCGGCAACCTCCGGCGACCGACCCGGATTTCGACGGGGATGCTACCCCGGGGGTTTTGACGCGCTGCGGTTCCAACGGCGACGTCGGTTTCGTCATCCGACGCACGGTTTTGGAGATACGGGACAGCGGACTTTCGAGGCGCATTTCGGGCCGTCAGGAAGTCGGAAGTGATCGCGGATTGCACGTACGCGATCACAGGAGCATCGAGCACGCATCTGGAGCACAGACGGGTGGTGGCGGGCGCATTCCTGTCAGAGCCGATATTTCTCAGAGCGGTTTTCGACGATCGAGTGTGTGGTGCAAGTGAAAAGACACACACCCAACAGTACTAGGAGTAATGGCTTTGAACTTAGTGAACAAAGTGCTCTAGCTAGAGAGGAAAGAAAGAAATGGAAAAAAAATGGTCATATATAGTCTCATAGACCTAGTATAGGAGAGAAAAGGGTTTGTCTAATGCAGCTGGGAGTTGAAGAAATATAGAAGAAGAGAAAGTAGTGGTAGTAAGTGAAGTATAGCAATGATTTCAACATTTCAGAACGTGGGGACTACGGTAAGGGTATGGAGCAGGAGGAAAGGAGCCAAGTCAAGAAATCTGTCAGATTAGATACTGGCTGTAAAATCTGAATTGGATGGTAAATCATATAGGATGAAGAATGACTCGGGTAATAGAATCATTCTTAACATTCAGCAGATGTTACATCGAGGATGTTGGATGTGAAGGTAGATTTCACACACATAAGAAAGTATGTCTTAGAGACTTTGCAAGTCATGCAAGCCATGGAAAGATGAAGGGAAGCTTTTGATGCCAGTTTAATGAGATAAATCATCTTGACTTCTATTAACACATACGATCTTGCTTTGTGATCTGTCGCAAAGTTACGGAACGTTGCTTGAAATCTGAATTAAATGATTCCGAAGTCTTTCATCCTTTGGGCCGCAGACGAAATGGTCATTCTTGCTTGCTTTATTTCTTTTCATGTACCTTTTCGTTTTGTTTTGTTTTGCTTTGCGAGCCGTTTAAAGTGGAACCTAAGTCTTGTCCGTGTGGGTGGTCTTCGTTTCTTTGCCTGGCATATTGAATGGCATTTGCCATAATTTATTTTACTGGTGGGAATGCCGACCAATTGTTTATGAGGCAGATGGCAGAAAAGTTCACAAATTGGGGCAAACAAAATTAATTGTGTAACAGGGAATGAAAAGTGTCGTTGAAACCCTCTGTGATATTGCTCTCCCCCTTTTTCTCAGCAAATCTCCGAATCTTGGGTCCAGGGTGGAATTATAGCATTTTTAAGAGAGATCAAACGGGAAGAGATATTAAATAATTAAAAATATATATAATTTATTTATTATTATTTAAAAAATTAATAAAATTTAAAATATATTAAATATAAAAAAGACATTAATAATAATGATGCTGTTATATATATATATATATATATCATTGAATAAAACTATAAAAATTGTCTTTTATCCTCTTTATGTCCCACAGTGAAAGAAAAAATAATACTTCAAACTCAAA